TAATAATATTAATATATTTAAAATAAGTTTTAATTAATTTAAAACATTTATTAATTTTATTATTAATAAATATACGCGTTTTAAACATTTAAATATACGCGTTTTAAACGTTTTAAAGCCGTAATACCGGTTGTAATACCAGTTATAACACTAGTTATAACGTTTTTAAAAATATATTACGTTAAAGTTTATAATATTATAACGTAATGTTATATAAATATGTAAAATAATTAAAAGGTTTAAATAATTAAATTAAAAGTTTTAAATTATAAAAATAAAAGGTATTTTAAACGTGGTTATAAGTGTAAACACGTGGTTATAAATGTAAACGCGTAAATGTAAATGTTAATATAACATTTTTAATGTTATTACGTGTTTTTAAACGTTAAAATTTGCAATATTATAACGTAATGTCATATAAATATATAAAAAAAATAAAAAAGTAAAAAAAGCAAAATATTAACTTTAAGTTATAAAAATAAAAGTTATTTTATACGTTATTATTAAATATTAAATTATCGTAAATATAAAGTTTAATTTTTAAAAAAACTTTTTAAATTATAATTAAATACGTTAAATATGTTTTAAATTAAAATTCGTTAAAATTTAAACTTATAATTTATAAATATAATAACACGGGTTAAACGTTTATGTGGCGTTTATGGCGTAATTAAACGTAAATTTAATTTTTTAACAAATTTTAATTTAAATTTATTAAAATAATTTACGTAAACGTTTATAAAAAATGTTTAATTTTAAAAATGTTTTTTTACGTTATATATAAATTTAGCTTTTTTAATTGGTTAATTACACTTTAACACATGTTCGATAAATTTTTTATAAAATTAATTAATTTATTTTATTATTATATAAAAAATTTAATAATTAATATCGTTAAATAAAACTTGTTTTACATGATTTTTTTATTTTATTTACATGTGTTTTAAACTTTATACGATAAAATGGCAAAAAAAAAAGTCGTTAATTACGGGGCGATTTTAAAGATCTGATTGGCTGGAAAAATTGTGGCAATATTAATAAAATATAAAAAAGTTGATAAAAGTTAATGAATAAAAAAGCAAAGTAAAAATAAAACCCTGATGGTCATCATGATTGATGGCTTGGCTGTCGCATGTACGGAATACAAGCCAGCTGATATCTCCGAATTGTGGATACACTATCACGCTCTTGTAACAAGAGGCAACCCCGCTGGATTGCACAATAGCCCTGAGTTTACGACCATTACGCCACATAACTAGCCACATAGCCACATAGCCACATAGCCACATATTACACCACACATTAATCGCCAGGTCTACGATTCGATTCCTCGACCTCGCATCCCATCCCTTTTTTAACGCATTACTCCGCAGGCAAAAGTGCGGCGCTTCGCGCCGCACTTTTGCCTGCTACGTAAGCGGGTCGGTCTCCGCGTTTCGGCTTCGCCGAAACGCTTCGCCGACCCGGTGTTCCATGGGCGGCCTTCGGCCGCACAAGCCACACACATTCCAGGACCCTCATCCAGGACCCTCGTGGCTGTGGCCGTGGCTTGGCTCAAAAATCGACCAAAACCCCACTTTCTCCAAAATGCACCCAATCAACATCTACCAAATCGACCAGGATCCTTCCTATTCCGGTAATTTTCAAATCCCAAATAGGCAATTTCCATTTCCTAATCCGGACGAGCTTCCATAGAAAAAAAATTCGACACAATAACCCTTCGTAAACTCAGGGCATTTGATTGGCCCGATCTAATTACCGGACCAAATCGATAGTGACTTGATCCCCTGTAACCGCTGTACGTAAGTTGCTGCTGCGGCTGCTGCAACCTCAGATTCTGTATTCTGTATTCTGTAATCATCCTTAGAATAATTCGGCAGCTTCGCAACAACTTGTCCACTGGCCATGAACGCGTTGAAACAGTTTTATATGCGCGCAAGTATTCGCCCAAAATGACTCTCAAACCTTTAAACGTTACCGATGTTGAGAGGGATGGATCTTTCCTTTCCCCCAGCCGCTACGACGATGATGCCTCATCGCTACACAGTCGAAGCGACCAGGATACTGATAGCGAGGATGACGAAATACTAGCTGCTGCACGAAATAGCAAGGAGTTACGCGCACGCGATCGCATGGTATTGATGGAGGAGGAAGAATTAGATAAGCTAATAATCGATTCGAGGGCCCGAAAGGAACGGGAAAGGAGAGGGAGCAGTCTTCAGAGACGGGGCAGTAATATTGCGCTACCGAACCCAATACGCTTACTGAGAAGTTATAACAATACGCGATCGGCGAGTGCGATAGATGATAACGAGAGTTCGGTTGAAGATTTACACGACGAGAAAAGGAAGAACAGACGAACACGAAGGAAGGAAAAGAAGCATCGCTTGCTCAAGGAAGCGCGCAATGGCGAGGATGGACAACTCATGTATGAGATGGAGCAAGGGGGACTTAAGGATGGGAGCTCTACCGGCGATAGTAGTGAGCGAGAGGATAGCGACGAACTCGATCGCAAGCGCTTAATAGGAGGATCTGACGCCAAGGCTGCAAAGACGAGGAAGTGGAAGAAATGGCTACTCATACATGCTACTATCATAGTTGGTGTCGCGTTTCTGACCCTCGTTATTTGGAAGCTTTCTATGGGCAAGAAAGGAGCTACTCCTCCTCCTCCTCAGTTGGTCAGCAATGGTACAGCTTTGTTCTTACCGACTACCCTCATTATCAGCTTGGATGGGTTTAGGGCAGATTTTCTAACTCGGGGTCTGACGCCAAGGTTGAATGCTTTTATCAAAGAAGGCGTGTCGCCACTCTATATGACCCCGTCGTTCCCGTCTGTGACATTCCCTGTAAGTCGCCCTAGTCAAGCCTTGGTCATTGACTAATCGACTAATACGCTCACAGAATCATTACACCCTTGCGACTGGCTTATACCCAGAATCCCATGGTGTAGTCGGCAACACATTCTGGGATCCGGCCTTGGAATCCGAGTTCTATTATACAGACCCTGATAGGAGTCTTGACGCCAAATGGTGGGGCGGCGAACCCTTTTGGGTGACTGCTGAGGAACAGGGTGTTCGCACCGCCGTGCATATGTGGCCGGGAAGTGAAGCTCACGTCCTAGGCAAGGATCCGAGCTTTTTGGACAAGTACAATGGTAAAGAGAAACTACCTAAAAAGGTCGACCGAATCCTCGAGTTTCTCGATAAGCCGGGCGTGGAGAATCCAGATGCGGATCCCACGGACATAAGGCCGCAAATCATAGCCGCGTATGTTCCTAACGTTGATGCCGATGGTCATCGCTTTGGCCCGAACAGTACTGAGATACGGTCGACTATCAACGAAGTTGATACAATGCTTGATCAGCTCTTCCATGGGCTGGAGGCAAGAAATCTTACTGACATCGTGAATGTCATTATCGTCTCCGACCATGGTATGGCTACCACGGATATTAGCCGGATGATACAAATTGAGGATCTAGTGGACCTAGATAAAGTCGAGCACCTCGACGGATGGCCCCTAGTTGGCATTAGGCCCAAGAATCTAGACGACCTGCAGCTGCTGTACGAACAAGCTGCCGAAAAGGCCAAATCCAACCCTAACTTCGATGTGTACCTGAGAGATAAGAACATGCCGGAGCGGTATCACTTTAGCAACAACGACCGCATTGCACCGCTGTGGATCGTCCCAAAGACCGGGTGGGCGATCGTTAAGCGGGAGGAATTTGACATTAAGGAAGCAAAAGCGAAGAATCTTGTTTACCACCCCAAAGGTCTACACGGTTACGACCATGAGCATCCTCTGATGAGAGCCATTTTCGTCGCCCGTGGGCCTGCTTTCCCACATCAACCCCACAGCAAGGTGGAGGTGTTCCGTACGTCACCCCTTTCCTTATTTTAGTTTAATTGGATACTAATTACGTGCAGAAAATATTAACGTGTACAATATCCTCTGCGACTCCATCGGTATGCAGGCCATGCCGAATAACGGGACACTGCATCTACCCCTGAAGATCGTCGGTCTTCATGACCCGGAGACGGTCCTCGAGGAGCCAGCTGATCCTGTTAAGCCCGAGACGGCTTCTACTGCCGAGACAACTTCTACCGTAGATGTCGCGACGGAGGCAATGTCTATTCTCCCTGTAGAAACTAGCTCCGAGGTTGCTCAGCCCTCTGCGACGGTCGGTGTGGATCCCATACCCGAACCCGTTGGTGATAAACCGCAGGAGCAAAATCCTCCAGATAACAAGGACGAGGGTGACGACTCCGCCTGGTGGGAGAATGCCTGGGACTGGGTGAAGGATAAGTTTGACGGACTAGTCGATGCGGTTAAGGGAATCGGTGAATAGTTCTGATCTTTCTCGAAGCTGTATACAAGTTTTGGGCCTTCTTAGTCTTTTGTTTGAGCGCGTCTGCAATTTAGCGATGGACACATCCTATGCGCATGGGAGGTATTCACTTGGAAGGGCATTGGCGCTGGTGGCGTTTTATACCTGGTTTAACACAGTGCGGGAGGATCTCCTCGGCTTGGATTTTTGTTGGGTTTCTTGATAGAAGTGTTGTCTAGAACTGTATTCACACAGAAACACTGTTATTGATTTTTAATTCGAAATAGAAAAATGTGTGAGATGATGTAATATGTAGTAATGTTGTCTGTAGTTGGCTGATAGGGGGCACACATTAATTCCGCTGATTTGGGCATTAAGATCAAACTATGCTTTATTTAATCCCGATGATCTATATTTCAAGCTTGAGCATACATATAATATTGGCCTAGTTATTAGATTCCGATTGAAATAGAGGTAGTTATCATCGATATTTATCAAACTAATGGCATTTACTAGTCTCATTGGGGATTCAGGGGCACTTCCTTGGACCTTGATATACCTAATGCCCAGTCCCCGCGCCTGACCACTTCTATGGCACTGGTTAATGTCAATTAATAGTCTAAGCAGGTTAGTTTCTTAGCTATAGCTGATGTAGATGTTAGATAGAGTGCCACTATCAATCCTCAGGACTCTCTAACTTCCCAACAGACGCACAAAAGCTACACACTGCAAAAAGCCTCTTCCATCTGATTATGGTCCTTGTCCAATAGATTTCCTGATCATCTGAATCCAACCGTGTGCAGAAGTAGCAATCCGTAGGTGGTTGAGCAGACCAGAAAGGCTGAGTCGCAACCTCGACGAACCGATCAGCAAGAGTGTAGTAGAACTCCGGTGTTTCCATGCACATGGATCTGAAGGTGTCGTCGCAGAAGATCCAAAATCGCGTCTTGGCTACGAAGTCGACGAAGACGGATTTAGCCCAGGCGTTGTCTAAGTCATACGCTATTGCGACGCCTTTCATGAAGTGGCTGAACTGCATGCGGGTTATATTAGGACTTCTAGTGTGCTCCTTGCCTAAGATTAGGTACCGGATTGTGTATTCGAGTTTCTCTTGCAGGGCTTGCTGGATACGGTTCTTGATTTGTGCTTGTAGGTCGTCCGGGCAGAAGTAATTGGCTACGCGGAAGAGGTTCGTGGCGTCGTTGATTACAGCTGGGATATAGAGGACTGCCTTGATATCTGGTGGTGATAGTTGGCTTTTACGTTAATGTTATGTTTATGGCAATTAGCCATACCTTGCCTATAGATCCAGGTAATGACCCCATTCACATAGGAAGGAATTTGTTCGTGAGTAGTTACTACGTTACTCTTTGCTTCCTATCCATGAAAACAAGTATATTATATACCGATCTAATAGGGGCTATAGCCTGTATGAAATCACTTACGGAAAATTTGCCATAGAAGGCTTTCTTGAAGCATTCAGAGCGACTAGCGAAGATTTGCTTCTAGACCTTCCAGGTACGGTCGCCGCATATAATAGTAGCATCTTTCGTAGAGTCGTCTTCGAGATGCCTGCTTACGAATCTATATTAATGGAGAAGTATATCTCTTTTCTTATGAGTCTTACTTCTCATGCTCCGTGGTCGTTACTGAAACTATTATATTTGTTGTAGTAAACGAGGAGAGTCGTGAAATGTGTAAGTTCTCTTCGTGTTAACAATAGATTTTTGAATAAAATAAAAATTCCAAGCTTCTATAAACTTCATATCAGCTTGTAAGCTAGATTTGGCAGATGTCTGCCGGTAATTCAACGTCCTGGTTTAGTTCGGATCCTAGTTACTTACTTGTTAGACTAAACTGGCAAGACTTGTCAACAGCACGGATAGAAATCCGTATAGGCTCCAATATTATAGACTGGGGCGACCACAGGCACTTACGAAAAATAACTTAGCCTATGTATATACTAAGAAGGATTTTTATTGGTTGATCATCAATACATCTATGTCTTATTATAGGAAGAGGGGCTGCTTACCCAGGGAGAGAGAAGATGGAGACCGTTCTCTGGATTGACCAATGTAGGAACGTCTACTGCCTTTAAGCTACGATGTGGGTTAGATAGACCCATCATAGCTATTCTGGCTTACTGTATTCTACTCGTTTCTGCTGGAAGGAGGTCTCGTGACCGCTGGGTTTCAAAGTCTCTTGGATGATATAAAATTGGTATTAAATATACCTCGAGGAGTGAGTTCGTAAGAGCCGATAACTACCTCCTATGTATTGTACTTTAGTAGAAAGGTGTTGTTGCGGTCAGGAGGTGATGCACTTATGCAATCCATGGTGCAGATCAAGTGGGCCTTCAGCCGCAAAGCGCCACAGCTCTGCATCATTGGTCGTCTCCACCTCCTCCGAGGACCCTCAATTCAACCTAGGTACCTTATTTACGTCATGGCCCCTCCGGTCCCTGGACCTCGTAGCCCCACTACGAGGCTGACAGAGTTTTTCCCATATCATATCGCGATAAAACTTAATCGGCTTAATTCATCTCTAAACCCAAATTTCTCCAATATTCAACCGTCGCGGACGGCAAACTCAATGGCGCATAACTACTCCGCATAATCCTGGCACACGCCGATAGGCGCGATCGCACGATGAGAATTGGGTTTGGGGTATATTCATCTCTTAAGCCGCCGTAAATTACCTAGGTACATACCTCCATAATGGCAGCGCCCCTGAAAGCCGTCGGTGGATTCGTCCCGCGCGCCGTTTTCGAGGTCTCGCCCTCTATTACGCGCTCGTATTTCCTAGGCCACCACGCCGGCGCGCTTACCTCCATGCGCAAGGTTCTCTCCAACATCAACCTGATCCTAGAGTGCCGCGACAGCCGCGTGCCCCTCACCTCGACGAACCCGCTCCTCGAGTCCGCGCTCGCCGGCCGCGACCGCATTGTCGTGTACACCAAGGCTGATTTGTGCGCGCCTGCTTCCGCGAACCGCTGGATCGACAAGCAGAAAGAATTACTGACGAAATTCCACTCCGGCTCGCTTGGGATCGTCGCGGAAGAAGGAGAGGGCGGATATGGAGGGACGGAGGTAGTGTTCACAGATGCGGGCAGCCCGCGATCGATTAAAAAGTTGATAGACGCGGTTAAAGAGCGCGCCGTGGCGTCAGACTCCCTGACGGGCTTGCGCGCGCTCGTCGTCGGCATGCCGAACGCGGGCAAGTCTTCGCTGCTCAACGCGCTGCGCGCTGAAGGTATGCAGCTCCCGAAAGCGGCGCGAACAGGCGCGCAACCCGGCATCACGCGCAAGCTCAGCACACCCGTCCGTGTGATTGCCGAGGACACCGCCGCGGGGCTAGAAGGCGGCGTCTTTGTGGTCGATACCCCGGGTGTCTTTGTCCCCTACGTCACCGACGTCGAGGCCATGCTCAAGCTATCGCTAGTCGGCTGCGTCAAGGACGGCCTAGTCCCTGCCGAGACTGTCGCCGATTACCTGCTGTTCCGGCTGAACCTGCGGGACCCGGAAATGTACGGCGAGCTCAGCGCGCCGACTAACGATATCCGCGAGTTTCTTGACAATATCGCCGTGCGCACGGGTAAGCTGCTGAAGGGCGGCGTGCCGAGTCAAGAACAAGCTGCGGACTGGATCGTACAGCAGTGGCGCAAGGGTAATCTGGGCCGCTTTGGGCTCGACGACGTTAGCGAGGAGACCTTGGCTGCTTTGAGGGCGAAGGCGCTGGCTGGTGGTGAGCAGCATTTGAGTATGAACCAGGCTAGGAAGAGGGAAAAGGAGGCGCGGAAGGTGAGGAATACCGCCAAGAGGCAAGCTGCGGAGGGAAGTTGACGATTCGGATGAGACATGAACTATATATATATACCTATTTGAAGGCAAATTATAAAACACATGTATTAGTCGAAGACGACATATGGAGCCTAGGCGTCTACGCCAGTATATTGGTAATCCGTATCGTCATTGTACATAATGTACCTAAAGTTCTACAGTAAGGAAACGCTATTGAAATATAGCAAGGTATCAGAGGGGGTATATTGTAGATACAACACCGCGCCTGTAAAATAGCAAAAAAAGCCTCTCCACGAACAGGTGCTCCGTGTCCTGAGACCTTGTCCCAAGTTCCTCAGAGCCCCCGACTCTCCCGATCAACCCATTTGAAGTTTTGATAGTACAGCTAGAAAAGTAGAAGTAGAACACCATTGATAAACCTCCTTTTAACCCTCTGAAAAGAACGCCTTGGTTTCCCATTTGCGCAAAACAACGCCGAGCAATGCAGATATAAGCCTACCTAATGTACCTGGAAGCTAACCCTTGAACGCCAAGTTGACTGTTAAATGAAGCCGTCAATAACTTTAGGGCGTAAACTCTTGCTGCCACTTGACCAAATCCCGTGTCAATATGTCCATCATCTCGATACAAGACATATCCTTGAATTCCTTTAGCGAGGAGAGACCATGGTTGACTCCATTGGCTACCGACCCGTTCGTAGTTATACCGACATTTTCGTGTTTTCTGCTGTCGCCGTTCACCTTAATTGAAGGTATTGTGGTGACGGATCCGTTGCTCGCACTGTTCTGTTGTGTACCAGCTCCCGAGTCTGATAACGGCTCGCTTGCGAGCTCGACCTGCGTTCTTGTGATGTATTCTAAAATGTTATTGGCGCGCCTCTTCATATCTGTCATAGTAATCCTCGAATTCATGCCCCCCTTTGATTTGCCCTGCTTGCCGGCAGGCTCGTGATTCGATTTTGTATGTGATGTGCCGTTCTCGTCGGCATTTCTTGTAATATCGCGCGACACCGACCTCGCCGGTGATTCGTCATGATCACGATTATCGCGGTCTTTAGTATATTGATTCCTGCCTTTCTTTTTCTGGTTGGTTGCCTTTTTCTTATGGGAATTTGTGGGAACCGGGACCGCAGGAGGCGTATCGGGAGGGGGCTGTGATGAAATCGGAGGATCTGGAGGTTGCGCGGATTCTGTTGCCCTATTTACTGCTGCGCGAACTGCCAGAGGCATTTCTTCCGAGGGGTCGGAGTCTAGGTTTGGGTTAGCTAGTCACGCCTTTAATACTGCCGTTGGAATGTTACCATCAGCTCGCCGACGTTCAGCTCGGCCTTTTCGCTTATTGGCGGCCTCGACTCGTCTCCGCTCTTGCTCTTCACGGCGTTCGTCTCTTTCGGCCTTTTCGCGCTGATTCCTTGCTGCGTTCCGAGACTTTTTTGACGAACCGTTTCGGATTGCTAGTTCATCCTCCGACTCTTCAGGGGGGGCGGATTGAAGCCTTTCAATTTTTGGGGAAGGAGATTTGGAAGTTGTTCGCTGTCGTTTAATACCCTCGACCTTCCTATGGACTTGTTAGCCGAAGCACCAAGCCTTGTTAATATTTCAGGGACGTACTCTTCACTATCATCTCTACTTCGCTTGGGACGTCTTGACGGAGGTTCTGTGGTTTCGGGAATCGCATCTTCCTTGCTTGCTTCAATTGCTCGGCGTAGTTGCTCCTCTTCATCGTAAGCAGCATCTCGACTGTTCATAGTAGAACGCCGCTTCGATGTATGCGCAGCTGCTGAGGAGCGTGAGTTTTTGGTTGGATTGCTTTTAGGGGAAAGCGCACCATCTTTAGCTGTGGAGGTGGCTCGTGAAACAGCTCGTGAGGGTCGGTGGATGGGAAGAAATATCGAGTATTTTTGCCTAGGTGCCATAATGTTAATATGACGATTGTAATGGATTGGTGACAGGGAAGTCAATCTTGGAAGGGGAAAAGGGAGTTGGAGAGACCAAGATCGGCAGAGGCGCGACCGTCAGCACTCCGCCGCAGCTGAAGGGTCACCCAATGCGACTGTCCTCAATTTGCTTCCAGGATTTGATGATGAGACTCACCCATTGCTTGCTGTAAATATCTTATGTAAATCTTTTCGGCATCTTTCGCAAAAGTACTGGACATCTTCGAGATTGGACTCTTCGGCAAAACCGACACAAGCACCATGCTGCCATGTATTGCAGAACTCGCATTGTACATAAAAGCCAGCCATGTCGTCCGTAACTTCGATAGCGAAAATGCGGTCATGGTCAATTGTGTCTCTTGGATCATGCTTCGAGTTCTCGTCGAAGGGCGGTGGCCCTGGGTATTCATCATGACCGCAGATGCAACGTACGGCCTCGTCATCCTCTTGAACCTCGTCGCCAGCAGATGCCATATCGGATAATTCTATCTTGGATTGCTTTTCTCGGTCGTCTTCTTTCCCGCGCGTACTCCGCCGACGGAGGATGGGGTCGTCGTTCGTTATAATTGTTGAATCCTCGGGGGGTTCTGAAGATAAAGATCCACTACCAGTCGACTTTTGGGGTGAACCAGTTTTAGTGAAGGCTCTCGTGCTTCGCTCGACACGGCCAGATGCACTGGACGCACTCGAGCTATTATGTGATTGTGATTGGGTTGTTCGCGCACGAGAAGAGCGTCTAGTCGGAGAAGTACCGGCCATAGCTTGTGGGCGTGGAGTGTGGGCGACTGGGCGACAGGTCGGATTGAGATCGGGGGGCTTAATGTGGGAAATGGGTTAAACGCGACGGCGATCTAAGTAGAGAATGGAATTGGGAAGTATTCTCTTTAGGTCTGAGCAAGGAATAAGTGAGATTATAGGTGATTGGGTCGCGACAAAGACTGGATGTGGTTGGAAGAAGGTGAGGAGACAAGAGTTGCTCCAGGGCGACCGCGAAGGAGCTCTTGAAGGAATTCTGGCTACGCGAAGTCAGAGGAAACAGGATAAGGACCTTGCAAATATACCGTCAGGTCTATCATGACTAAATTCGATATTCGTAAAAAACTGCGTCAGTTTGCAAAGGTAAGAGTAATAGAGGGGGAGGAATGTGTGTTGGTTAAGGCGAACAAGAGGGTCACTTTTTTGGAGGAGGTAGGTAGTAGGTAGTAGGTAGAGCAACATTGTATTAGGTATTGTTCCTAGCTGGCCCTCGCTCGGGCGCGGGCAGACTCGCGCGACCAAGCGACTTAGCGACTTAGCGACCATCCAGCAGGGGACCCGGCAGCTCCTCAGGTGCTGTGGATGGTAAGGTTTTTTCTTTCTTTTTTTTCTTTTTCGGGTTAAGTTCTTAGCTTGGATCCCCAATTGATCCGGGCCCTCTTTCTCGTCGGCCTTCCATCGGTCCGTCCAATTCATTGGTGGTAACTGTACAGGTGAGCGCGGGGCACCGTACTCACATGTTACTGTTCACACCGTATTTTGCCCGATTAGCATTAGATATGCATGCATGTGTCGATATTCCCATACGCCCATACGCATACACGAAGGTGGGAGATTTACCTCATCTCATACGCCGGAGGAAGATAAGTTACCTACCTATGTTAGCTGGTTACCTAGGTACGTTTTGGTCGTGGCGATGCATTGTTCACATTGGTGCGCTCTGTGCCTACTGAAATATGAGATAGGTTGTAAGATACGTATGCATACCTATATCTAATATTGGTATTGGGAGATACCTCGATAAGTTTATGTTGGATGCATTTTGGCTTTTGGGTTTCGATGCTAGAAGAATGCGATTAGGTAGCGTTGATTGGAGATGGGGAAAACGATAGGAGGGGGATAATGGACGTCACTTTACCTGATGTTCCTGGTGTAGCGGGCTGTCTTGCCTGTACCTATCGGGACGGGATGGAACACAGTATATGAATTTAGCAATTGCAAAGTACCTACCATTCATTATGTACCTTAAGTACCTGTGTTCCGACCAATCTGACTTCCAATACCTACCCAACCGCACTTCAGTTCGAACTCATTTACATAAAGTTCACTAAGATTACTAATGGGGTAATTTCAGGGTTGATTGGCCCTTGTACCTACGTATTTCGTGTATTTCGTACAGTACATCGATCCCTAAACCCTTTCGTGTGACAGTGTGGGCAGCCATCGCTCAGTCAATTACATATCGCCAGCACAACTGATCTCCTTACCTTGTAGGTACCTGCCACCTTACTCAACGTTGCCGAAACTTATTAGGAACTCCCACCTGATTCTTCCTCATACCAAAATCCCAACAACGAACAAACATCTTTTTGCTCTTGCTTCTGCAACGTCTTTGCATACCATTGTCACGGCATCGAGATTTCTACTTAGCTTGTACGAATCGGTCCTTATCGTAAATCCATTCTATCAATCTTCCCCGCCAAAAGGGGGACCTTCTTGAATACGGAACACCACGGAGACTCGTCTTAGGTTGTATTGGTCATCTAAGCCCACCACCTCGACCAGCTTCCGCGGACTGTCATTTCTGTATGTACAAAAAAGCCCATCCGGGATCTTCTGCTTTCCAAAAGCAGCGGGACGCTTGCTAGAGGCTCAGTGGCACTTTCTGGCTAGGGTCTAGCAGCTGGCTCCGATAGAATTGCCTACCATTTACTTAGAGGTCCGGTATTAATCTTACCATAAATATATAGAAAAAGGAGAAGGTCGCTGCAACGAACGCAACCACGAAATTGTGTATCCGCCGTCTTTGAACCTGTCTCGATCGCTGTACGATAGCTTACCGCGCGAACCCTCTTCTCTTGCTCTAAGTGGACGAGTTGAGCAGAGTAGGAATATATTGGAGGAGACAGCTGGGCTGTCGGTGCTACAATTGTAATAGCGGGATGTAATGGGTACGTCGTTTCCCCGGTGAGGGACATCCGCCATAGAAAGGAGATGATTGCTAGAGCCGACACGCTTGTCCGCCTGAAAACTGGCTGGGCATGTTGATATGGTCTCGAAAATTGCCACCTGCTCTTCCGCGTCACACTTCTGCGTCGCTGTCGGGGGAATGGCTAGAGACCCATATCTCAGCGAACCGAGCCTCTAACAAACTCCGCGTCGCATTCAACATATGACCGTCAAGGACGACTCTTAAGTTTCTTTTACTACCATGTGTTTCTGCGTTGTATCCCCGTTGAAGGCCGTTTGGCTAACACTCTCGCGATTTGCTCGCGGAGCAGGGCCTTCAGAGAATATGTCTCCCGAGTCTTCCTCACTATTTCCTGACCGGCCTATTCGACCTCTTCCGAAACGTCGACTACGTGAACGACTTTCTCCAGATGTCGCTGATAGCATTCAATACCCCCCCGCGCCTCAAACTTCAGCGCCCCTGTTTGTCTATCCATATAATGCCAAGGAAGATTTGGCGTCGTTAGGCGCCGAGCCTCTAAGTGTAGCACATCGAGAGAATGCAGCTGAATTAGGGCAAGAAGCTGGTCTCCGTAGAAACGGCCTAGGTAACGAAAACGACGGTCATTCACTAATTGGACAAGCTCGGAGAGCTTTCGTATCACGACCCCTCCACGATTCGCCAGGACATGCGACTCGTGCCCCTCTACGACAGGGTCAATCTCGACAACCAAATCCGCAGCCACCGCCTTCTACTGCGTCCTCCGCAGACGGTTACGATTCCTTTGAGAATACTAACAATAAGAAGAAGAGGAAAATTCCAACTGCTGGTGAGACGATTTTGAATGGGACGCACGTGTTGAATGATCTTGGAGCGCTAGGAGTATCATCGCCCGTAGCAACAGGCAACGAAGGATCTTTAGATATTTCTGGATCAGCTTCTGCAGCTTATTATCAATCTGGTGGTCTTGCAACGGGCGGGCAAGGAATTTCCGGCCCCGGCAGAGGTAGGTACGGCCGGGTACGCAATGGTAGGAGCCCATTAAGAACCCTGTCAGACCCGAATGGCAACTGGGGAAACCGGACCCCTAATAAACTCAGACCAGGTGGTGTACAATATTCATCGCCGCCTGCAGGTAAGCCTCGTTTCGTTGAATTTCTTCACCTTTGATTATCTCCCTCTAGCGAAACGTCCACATCCTTTTTCTTTTTCTTTTTCTTTTTGGCAGCAATCTCTAGGCAACAACATGATACTATTCAAAAGCAATTAATCACTAACATATCTTGCTTCGTTATAGGCGAGAATTCCGGGATTATCTCCAGTGCTATCGCCAGTGCAGAGAAGCTTCAGGTACCCCAAGGCCAAGAAAATATCAGTCTTTTACACCAAGAAACATCTACGAAGTCTAGTCCAACCTCATCAGCACAGTTTACCTTCACGTTTGATTCCCAAAACCCTGTTTCTTGGCCTGGCTCTGATCCGGCGCCGTCAAATATGGGGCCCTCAAACCATATGAACCAGTCTCATTCGGACTCTCGAGACTCGTACAATGGTCTTGGTGCTAGATCTCAAAATGGATCAGGCCCGCCCCCGAACAGGCCAGGAAGCATGCAGGGAGGAATCAACGCAGCAACCAACGAAGCAGGCAAAGGAGCAGCCCAGGGTAATGTGCCACCGAAGAAATCGAAGCGTCGCGGCAACTCCCTCTTGCAGGCGGCCAAACAACGCCGTAAAGAAACAGAATTCCAGAATTTCCACCACCCACCGGCTCCAGAGGATATTTGGATATGCGAATTCTGCGAGTACGAACGGATCTTTGGCCGTCCACCTGAAGCCTTGATTCGGCAATACGAGATCAAAGACCGCCGACGACGCCGTGAAGAAGCAGAGCGGCGTAGGTTATTGGAGAAGGCGAAAATGAAGTCGCGCAAAGGCAAGAAGGCAGGCAAAACGCCAGCGAAGAATAACTCCAATGCCCCTGATCGCAACCTCGCGTCTACGGCTGGACACGCTCCTCCTCCTCGACCTCATCTAAATGATCATGATGAAGATCGGGGTCTGCACCAAGGTCAAATCCACGAAGAAGATCAAGAAAACGGTTATGATTTTGAGGATCACTACGAAGAAGAGGGACTGGAAGTAGATATGCCTAGTCATCCACGAGCACGCGGTAATAAGGGTGGTGGAGGAGTGGATAGTAGTCTTCAAGGCTTCTACGTGAGCCAGTGACAAGTGTCCGACTCTTGTCTTCGATTGGTTGGACTATTCGGTATCCCAGCATTGATAGCGTGTGTCACGGTCGCCTTCTCAACTCCTATCGCATTTTCGAAACACTTCTTTCGCATCAGTTCTCTAGGAGCACCAGCCTAGATACGTCATCTGCCCGGAGTTTGAATCCCAAGTGTCGTTTCTCGCCTTAATATTGTTCGACTCGTATGTTTCTCGCAACCCAAGGCCATCTATCAACCGTGAAGTCTCGTCGTAGCGCTTCAATTCACCTTTTCCAACCCCGGAAGAATAGTAGCCACGCAGCGGAGGGTAAATCATTCTTATGAGCTAGACCAAGCGAGCATCCACGAGGGTGGCGTCTACAGCCGAGAATCATTGTCAATATCTCTAGATCATCAAAAATGCACGTATCGTGCTATGATTAGTACCCCTTTTAAGCGCTGTCATTAGAAATGCCTCGGGGCGTATAGACCAGATAGATCATAAGAGACTATCGATCACATGCATTGGCTTATTTTTAGTTCACTCTGTGCTCTTGCTTCATGGGCATATGCAATATGCTTGGCTTCTGTAGTTCCAATGCCATAGATCTTTTGTCTACCCATTAATATTAAACAAACTTGGGTAATAGTCTACCTAAAGGGCAAGATGAATTAAAGGGGGCCAAACGTAGTGGAGCACGTGTGCGATGCTCCCATTTCACATCTATTGGGCTCTATCACTAGGTACTATATCTGTCTGACGCTTGGTAACGTCACCTGTGTGACATGGCTCTGTACCTACATAAATATACGTATAGTCCGATCTATTGATGTCTACTCTTAACTGTGGCATCTTTTAGTAGTAAATCAATTCAACGAATATTTAAATATAAAGAATGTAGCCCCCCCATTGAGAAGGCAACGCTAAACCATGGCTAATAACCTTAAGCATTTCTAAAATGCCTACATCAATATTCCGTATGGGTATTAGTAGTATATGTATGTACCTAGGGTACGTCTGCGTTAGTTAGTCAAATGACGTCATTTAAAGTCGGATTAAAAGACTAGGACCCGCCATCCACATTTGTACTTGCGGTAACGCGCATTGAAAAAGTACCTAAGTTTACTGTAGTTAACTAACTACATAGTAATAACTTGAACGTTGAGGAATATAGAAGCCTAGAAAGGTACTTAGATATACATGTATATCGTGTACCTGCAGAGATTTCTATTGGACTATTTTATGCCAATTAATATAAAAGTTACCCAGGTATATAATTTGAGAATTGTTCACGTAGAACCAGTAGTGTCAAAAAAGACGTGGCCCCATGTTTAAAATAAAGTTTTGATTCGCTGGCTGTTGAGGCCAATGGTAAGATGGGTATTAAGTTGAGTCTTTTTTTAAGGGGTCTTGAGGGCTCCAGTATTAGCCACGAGTCCGGTTGTATGTATGCATCCAGATCCTCTCTATTAAAGTGTTATTGCCGCAATACATATATAGCTACATGTAGGTTAAGGTAATCTGGCAGTCTAGATACATGTATGTAAGTGCCAGAGTGGAGTTTGATGCGTGGGAAGCAGCAGTAACCCCACGTAGATATTAGAATGACGGTACTGTACCTATTCCGTCTTAAGTTGAACCAGCTAAGTGGATAGCGCATAGTGTCCACTACTTAGGTAGTTTGTTAGTGTGGCTTAGGGTGCCCTTTCCCTTTGTGTCATCATCATACCTCGACTTCCTAGGATTCCCGTTCCTGAGAGCTTCCCAAAGTCTTTTTTGTTCCAACGCGCCGGGAAAATCCATTTCAAGTTTCGCTTACTTCCCGCGTTTCTTTCAACACAAAGCCGGTTTGAGATTTTGAAATTTATGATCGCGGCCTCACACAGATCAGATCTATCTACGCATTAGTTAATAATTGTATTCCCATGCAGCCTTTATTATAGTCGATTCAGACCAGGCCTCGAGCCTGCGGGTCGCTCAGTCAAGATGTTCGGCTCGTCGCGAAGGCATCGGCCGCCAAACCCTGTAAGTACCTCATCGGCCTGTCTCTAGTTCATCTCGAGTCGTCGCATTCCATTGTCTTAGGGCGCCAAATATCAATTACAATATTGCACGACCCGTGCTTCTTTATCCCCTGAGGGCGCTAGTGTAGATGTCTCTCGGGTCGCTTCGTGGTTGGTTGATATGAAGGGGGTTTCCCCATTAGGTTGGATGGGACGATTCACTCATCATGACGACGACATATCATCGTTTTTTATTTCCACTTGATTATACATCGCATATGCTAATAGCTATTCCGAAATTCCACAGCCTGTGAACTCCAGAACCGCGGACCCAAACGCAGCATCAGCCGCCGCATCCGCCTTCATGTCTGCCTCAAACCACAAACCCAGCAGGTCGCTCTCGTCGGCTGCTGCGGCTGCCGCGCTCCGAGCACGTCCTCATACGCCTACAAACGTAGGTGAAGTTCAAACAAAAAGGACGATACGTCGAAGTACCTCGATATCTTCAGCAGGAAGTGCCGCCGCAGCTGTCCATGGTTCGCGCCCAGCGGAGCTTAAAAGAACGAGTAGCTCAAGCAGTATGGCAGAGCGTACATTTCGAAGTCCTTCGCCGCATCGAGCTGGCTCGATACAAACGACCGACGAACGCCCACCGGTGCCTCAAATACCCCCAGATCATAAAAAGGTGTTACGCCAAGCTTCCACAAGTGTGGGAATGCAGAATTTTAAGACCGCATCGCAAAAAATGAAGCCAGGACAGTCTTCATGGTATACCGAACCATCAGGCGACCCAAGTAACGTAAGGACATCTGATCTGCCGATGAAGACACGCAAACCCGAACCGTTAAAACCTCAGAATATCCCTACTTCATCGCAGAGACCAGATAGCAGGAGTTCTTCAGTAAACTTTTCATACCCGACTGTTTTTCGAGCCCAGTCACCACCTGCATCTCCTACCTACACGCAGGTGCCACAATTTGCAAATCCACTACCTCGCAGGCCCGCTTCGCCACCTAGGTCGAATAGAGCTTCTATATCCTCGATTACAAGCGGGAAGTCCGATCTACCGATGGTATACGACCCAAATTCTAGGAGAATGATTCCAAGGCCCACGATAGATAATGACTCCTACATCAAGGAAACGGGAGAGAAGCAGTCGAAAAAGAAGAAATATAACGGGACTCAGAGAGAAAGCAACTACCTCGAGAAAGCGACAGGCATAAGGACAAGAGGAACTGCCATTGACATAGACGCGAGTGAACGCGATCCGCCAAAGCGAGAGGCACCAATCGTCGAGACACCGCCAAAAGCAGAGGAGTCGCGGACATTGGGGGATCCCACAATCAAGGCTATTGCTACAACACCAGGACCGGTACGGCATCAGGAGGGGCTAGATAACAATAACCAGTCATCAAGATTACAAGGTGCACACGTGCCGAGGATCGAGAGCCCGTCTCTCCTCCAGACAGCATCTAACTATCCGGGTCGAATCTCACCAAATTTAGTGACAAAACCAGATGTTCCAGATGAGCCCGAGGATGTCTCTGACGAAGACGATGCTACGAATCAGCCATCTCGAAAGGTACTCGAAGCGCTAGACGCAGTACCGACGAGACAGTCGATTTTTGAGAGACCTCAAGGCCCACCGCTTTCAAGTGAATCAGCTCGAGTAATTGTTAGACAAAGTCAAAATGACAGATTTATAGAACAAGCCGACTCCCCTATCGATGGTGCGCCAGAAAATAAGTCTCTATCCGCGAAAAACAAACCAGTTGTAGAGCTTTCTAGTAAAGAAAGTTATGCACGACGATCGAACTCAAACAGCCCAGCTCGACAAGCTCATTTCTCAATAACTCCATCAGATAATCTCGCAGTACGGCACATCCCTTTGCCAAGATCGGCGTCGCCTATTAAGTCAGCTCTCAAACGTACTAGTTCAACGTCGAGAGAAGTGTCTCCATCGGAAAAAGGCTCAGAAATTTCAAGATCTCGCGACGTGTCTCCACTACAAGAGGAGACTACAACACCTCGTAAAAAGTCGGTCCGCGTTAGTTTTGATGACCGAACTATGGCTACAGTGGTTGGTGAATCTGCAGGAGATACAGACGAGTCGGGCCCACCAAGTCCACAGCAAACTAAGCGGCCTTGGTACAGTAATATCGGGCGAAGTAAGAGGAAAGACTTTGCTCTCGAGGACGACGAAATTATGAAACCTCGGCCTGCGTTGCCAAGCTTTGGAAGTATTAGGGAAAGAAAGCCAAGGGAACCCGAAGAACGACCTCTTGTACGCCCACAAGAGTTGGCCCATTCATCTGATTTGCGCTCATCCGCCCCAAACGCGCCTAGTAACTCTGGGACTCCTGATGAGCTGCCGTTAGGGCAGTCAAGCGATCAGGTTATAGGTTCAATTTTTGTTCGAGAACAAACCCCACGAAACGCACCAAATATCTCAAGGTTTAGGGAACCATTGCCACCCGTTGTGACCTCGGTGGAAGGAAGTGGTTATATCTCAGACAGCATCAAGAGCTCCGATTCCGACGATGAACTCCTCAATAGCATCGGAGGGGCGAGTGATACAGAGGATTTTCCTAACACACAGATTACCCAACCAGATACCCAAGATAATTCTCAAAACAACTCAACCATTCTTGAGAAAAAGTTTGTCAAATCAGAGGCAGTTGTACCAAATGCAATTCAACTTCCGCCGCATGATATTCCCGAAATTGCTATAATACAACCCAGTCCAAAAGTTCCGGAGCGAGGTACATCCGCCGCAAGCGTTCTAGAAGAACCCTTCTTCGACGTCCCAGGCGGGTTCCCAGATGATGGATCAGACAAAACACGTGATATTCAGCCTTCGTCGCAGAGTATTAATAGCAATGCCAATGGCGATGCTTCCCCCTCCCCTATCTTCGAGCCAAAAACAATGGTACACTCTATCCAACCTGGAGTACTCCCTCAAACTACACTCGCTACAACAGCTCTATTAGACGTAGTGGATAATGAGTCTACAGACGACTCTGCAAGTATATACAGTGATGCATACGAAGATCCCTGGAATGCCGAGGGAGATGGTTTCTTGTCTTTGAATGCTGTTGTCGAGAAGCCTATCGACAGAATCGCCCCATCCCAATTGTCAGAGTTACCCGGTGATGCTCCACAAGGGCCTCATGAGAAATATCAACTCCCAACCGATAAGCAGCTTGGAGCCGCTGCCAATATCTTGGAACCGGTACGACATCAAGATGATTGGGAACAGGCAAAAGCCTTTTGGCGTAGTTTAACAGCCGAGAAGAGGCTTCAGCTTGAGCGGGAGGCTATGGAAGAGGCCGGAGCTGAAGGGGACGAGGACGAGGTTGAACGCCCTATTCGAAAGAATAGTGTTCAGAAGGCAACTACTCAACAGCGAACAGCAACTGAAGCGCGGCTTAGAACGTCGACACAGCCTGAAGATGTCTTATCTACCAACTCCGCAAAAGTTTCTGCAGTCAAGTCTAAGTCCAAAGCTACCCAAGAACCCCCTCATCAACCAGCGACATCATCGCGGATGCGCATGTCCCTGCGTAGAGAAAAGCCCGGACAGGCTTCAGATGGCATGCGAAAAACAATGAGGTCTCATACTGGGGGAGGACAAGCCAACCAACCTTCTCGCCAGGCCATGCAGAATGGGGAATCCACTCCCGTCTCTACAAAGCCAATTCAACAACAGGCACAACAACCTACTCAAAAATTACCTACTAAAAGAGCAAGCAGCTCTTTTCCTAGTGATAAACCTCATTTACAACGCCGCGGGTCTGATGCTAGCGACAGCAGCTTTAAGCGTAACCGCGCCGCCCGTAACAGCGGATTCAGCCTCCGCAGTTCCATGCGCCCATCATCTGCCAATCCAACTCAAGACATAACTAGAAGCTCCGGACGGTTCAGCCTACGATCGCTCTCGCCAACCGGCTCTTCATTCCGGCAAAGTTTAGCTACTAATGCTACGAGTGGAGCACCAGCCCCTACGATGCGGCGCACCCTACGATCTAGTAGTGTGTCAAGTCAAGAAAGGATCCTCCCATCTATCCATTTCCCCTCGTTTGGTCGGTCGAATAAGAATCCTACAACAAAGCGTTCCAAGAGATCCAGTCGCCTCGGCGACTCAAGCGACGAAGACGAAGGTGAAATTGCCGGCTTCCGCAGCCGCTTTGACGATTCTAGTGACGAAGAAAGTGTTCGTCCCAGTACTTCAGCACAGGCAGGGCCTCTATCAAGGGGAACTCTTAGAGGATCTGCTACTGGCGCAGCTGGCTTTCGGAAATCCACGCCTGTGCCAGAAGTAGACGAGGATTCACCGGCGTTACCCGACAGTGATGATGAGATGCCCAGTCCTATGCAGAGCCTGCGAAGGAAAGCCCCCATCGGCGGTGCAGGTTTAGCCCGTTCAAATTCCGAAGCTCTGGGGACTGCGATACTGACGCGATCACGATCCGGTCGTGGCGGGTTTGATACTTCCGTATCGACCCCTACTACACCAAATAGGGAAAGGCGAAGCTCCCTGATGGGGATATTGAGACGCAACAAGAGAGCCGATCCCGCAGGTAAAATTCAACGCTCCGGGCTTGTGGAGAGCGCAGCTAGGCGTGATACTAGGTTGGAGCGAAGTAGTGAGCAATTAAGAGACCTTCGAAGCGACAACTCTTCCGGTCTAAGGCTCCAGAAGCGATCTTCCGTGAAAAGAAACGACAGCTGGCCCTTAGGCGAGCCATCTGGGAACGAGGGTATAAAACGACCAAGCTCGGCCGGCAATCTACTCGGTGGAAGTGGCACGGGGGGCGCCGGTCAGAGGCCCGAACTGAATGACAGACGAAGCACGAGCCTAGGACTTCCCACAGTATATCAGAACGAACGAGATGAGGTGATTGTTGACGGTGTAGAACATAAGAAGAAAAAGAAGTTCGGTGCACTGCGCCGGATGTTCGGTCTAAACGATTAGAAAGCGTTTACTACCGAGAAGAAGCAACGTAGGGTGTTAGTGAAAGGAGGACGCCGAACCGCGTCGTTACGGTGCGCCGGCTATCATTACGAATCGCGACTTTCTATTTGTTCACCAAGACCGCGGGAGTTTAGGAAAAGGGCAAAGGGCTCGGGAGCACATTGAGACGGCATAAATAATTTCCAAGTTGATACCCGTTACCCGTGCGATTGGCATAAGCTTGCAGGTAGACCTACCCAGCCCACGATACTAATAGGGCGAATGATTTTGTTTCTTTTGTATAAGATAGGGGGCGTACACGCATATGCGGAGTCTCTTCGGAAATCACGCGTTTCTAGTGGGGGCGATACTCTTCGCGGGATTTTTTATCATTTTTCAAAGTCGAGTATGTGATACTGGCATCCACTGGGAACTACTTGCAGAAATGCGCAGTCAGGCTAGAGAACGCGAAACGCGCAATGAAAACGAAGGGGGGTGGGAATCAATATATGTCTTATCAAATAATGTAATGCAAGACTCGTTTAACATACATGGTTAGCCCTCTATCCCCGCAGGGGAATAAAGAGAAAAGAGAAATGAAACGTAATAATTTATTTGGCGCAATCTGTTTGCGGGCACTGGGGAAATTTGGAAGCTATCGTGAGACCAAGCTTACCTTAGGCCGGGGTAGGCCTCAACCCCCGCGCTAGATTTGTATGCGTGGGTGGTACATGATGTACTAACAATAAGAGAAAAAAGACCCATTGCTGGGCGTGGGGCTATGGGGCTATGGGAACAATATTTGCAACCATCGTGACCTCGGAACATCGGAGACGGAGGAGTGCGGCTCTATGTACTATGAACCGAAAATACCACTGGGATGGGCTGAGTAATATAATCCGAGTCAGGGTGACATTACTCAACAAAGAACAAATTCAAAATGACACGCGACGAATGAATCAGTACATAAGGTCAAAGAAAACCGTGTTATCATTGTGCATTTTGGATGCGCTGTTAGAAGTTCGGGAGGCTCAGAAACTAAACTCGAACAAGACTCGGATCTACAATCGATAAGGGTAAAAAAGCCTGTTGCGGTGATAATGGCAAGACTGACGAGACGGAGACTTCCCACAATCATAAGGTAAGGAAAAGAAAGAAAAAATTGAAAGGAGAGGTCATAGGGTAGGATAAGTGTAAAGGTAAAGAAAGTAGCGAGTAGCGAGTGGCGAGTAGCGAGTTAGCGACAGCAAATCCCACGAACATGGACATGGTTCCGGCTTCCGATGGGGAGGATGTCGTGCAATGATAGCGTACAATTAGAAAAAGCGGCTGCAGGTGCATTTCGATATCGCTCACCGGAAGTCGGTACTCGAATTATCCCCTTTTAGCTCCATGTCTTCTTTTTTTTTTTTCGCTACGTGTTCGGCGTAGGCGGGTATTCCTGTTGGCTACCCATTCCCGGGGGCGTCCTCCCACTGATGTGGGTTGCAATTTAGTGTACTGCTTTAGCTTTGCTCGCTTGGCTTCGAGTTCTGGGTATTTGCGGGGCCGCACTTCTGCGGTATCCTAGCAAGAGCTTAAGTACTCGTCGTTGTTTCCGATTGTTTGGAGTTTTCTTTCGTGCTTCGGTATACGCAGTACTTGTCTAGGTACCTACATGGATGTACCTATGGATACCTAATGTTTGGATGGACATAATAGGTATGTACATAACACTAGGTACATTACCATTTTACGCACATACATTAGGTACAGTACACATGATGCGGGATGTACGTAGCCCTCTGCATAATACGAATGGGCAGACAACCTTTCAGCAGCTCATATCACCAGATAACCAGATAGAGCTATGAAGGAACGTGGAAGGACCTGGTCTAGGCTCTAGCCAGACTAACTCGTCAGTCTTGACAAGTCTAGAATGGGCCTTACAGAGGCTAGTCTCCACCTAAACCACCTGAAAGTCACCTAAGCTTAATCGTACTACCCCTCCAACCCTCCATTAGGGGGAACCGAGGGGGGGGAAAGAGAGGGGTGCTAGGGGGAAGCTTGGACCTATATATGTACATACCTAGCTGCTAGGTACACAGTTGCATTAGGTAGTACCTACATATAGCGTGTACCCTATAGAATATAAGAGGTACGTAGTACTACGCTATAAGATAGGTACCGCATGTGCTAATAGCCAGTGGGGTATAGATCGTCAAAGGCTGGAGAAGACGAAGAAGCCCAAGAAAAAAAAATAAAAAAATTGTTAGTGAGCGTCCAAGGAAGATCGTGAGTTTTCTGGTCCCCTGACCTCCTGAGCGGTGGTTTAGTTTTTCCCACTCTCGTGTGTTCCCAGGCTCTTTACCAATATTTTTCCTGTCGGTCTGAACTTCTCCCTCCTTTTATCTCTCACATCCTCCTCTTAAAAACCCAAGGCGATTCCCAATTGCAAAGTGAATTGCTTCCAAAACATTGATTCTCCTTACACCCAAAAGCGGTATAGAGCTCCATTTGGCAGTAGAAACCCACATACGTCATTTTCCCGACACAGTCTAATCCATTCGTCAACCCGTGCAAACTGAAGCTCAGTTTTACTCCCCAGGCAACTCAATTCACATCCACGCCTAATAACGTCGACGCATAAACAACATTCTCTTATTCTCTCTCATTCTCCCCCCTACTTTGTATCCATACATCCTGCTATCATATCGACAAGCTTATTTTTTTTGTCGACCCCATAAATATCTCTTTATCCATCCACCTAAACATCTCACACATCACACACAATGTTGTCACGAAACCTTCTCCGCGCGTCGGCACGAGCTGTCGGTGCTTCTGCCAGAGCTGCTGCTCCTCGATCAACCCTTCCTGCTGGCGCAGCTTACATCCACAACAACAACAATCCTCTCAACAACGCAAACAACAAGGACAAGAAGGGTTCTACGCCTACTCCCGGTGCATTCGCCCGTACAGACGACAGCATCACCGTCGAGTACCCAGAGGAAGATGCTCTCCCCTCCTCTACCCCCGTCCAAGGCCGTGGCGGTTTCCACATGAAGCGAACCCTCGCCTCCTTCTCGCTCGAGGGTAAGGTCGGTGTAGTTACTGGTGGCGCTCGTGGCCTCGGACTTGTCATGGGTCAAGGCATGGTTATTAGCGGTGCTAACTTGGCAATCGTCGATATGAACAGTGAGTTTGCTCCTTTTACTATTCCTTTCACGCTCTTCAGCCATTCTCAAACCCCCCAATTCACATTTTCGTTTCGACTCTGCTTTGTTTTGCCTTCCCATCGCCCCCCTGACTCGTGCTCTGCGCTCTGCGCTCCACTTCCTTCTCCGATTCCCACATACCTCTGCAGATCTGCGGTGAGCTGTAACGGAGCGAAATGATTGCTGACAATTCATCCCCAACTAAACAGAGGAAGAAGCCGAACGCCAAGCTATCGAGCTGGTTGACGTGTTCCGCAAGGAGAACCCTGGCGCCACCAGAGTGCCCAAGGTCACCGCTCATTACGCCGATGTATCGGATGCAGACTCGGTTCAGAAGTGTATTGACGAGGTCATCAAGGAGCACGGAAAGATCGACCACCTTGTCACCAGCGCCGGTTTCACCGAGAACTACAACGCTGTCGACTACCCTATTGACCGCATGCGCAAGCTGTGGAGCGTCAACGTAGATGGCACATATCTCTTCGCTATCACCGTTGCCAAGCACCTGATGGAGCGCAAGAGCCCGGGAAGCATGGTTTTCATCGGAAGCATGTCCGGTGCCATCGTGAACGTGCCGCAGCCCCAGGCGTAAGTTACTCCGCTATCCAATCGTTGCATTGGTTTAACGGTCGAGACTAACCGAGTTTGATTTTTTTTTTAGTCCGTACAACAGCGCCAAGGCCGCCGTCCGGCATTTGGCCGCTTCACTTGCCGTCGAGTGGGCCCACGCCGGCATCCGTGTAAACTGTATTTCCCCCGGTTATATGCTGACTGCTCTGTAAGTAACGCCGTCCATCATTTGATTCTTGCAAATCGCGCATAACAGCGGCTAACAAAAACCCGCAAATAGTACCGAGAAGATCCTTGACGACAAGCCAGACCTCAAGAAGCAATGGACCTCTCTTATCCCTCAGGGTAAGATGGGCCAACCCGTCGATCTTATGGGCCCCGTCGCATTCCTGCTGTCGGATGCCAGCGCATACGTGACCGGCGCCGACGTCCGCGTCGACGGCGGTTACACTCTTACTTAAAGAGGTGAAACCACGCTCAAAATTCATCTTCCAGCGGGATTTTAGAGGGTATATTCGGGACAAAAGGACATAGACAGTGAACTTTTTTTTTTCCCAGGGAGTTGGGCGGGGATTTTGTTCTTCCAATAATAGAGGCACCCTTTCAATCCCACGAAGATAAAAATCGGATCAGAGGGGTAACTCGTCCTACAGAAGCCATAGTTGGTTTGTCCTCGCAGGATAGGATTGATGATGATGATGATTTGCGTGTCAAATGTATCAAGTAAGGGTAGACGAAGGCATGGAATCGCGCACGACGATTATTATTTTCGCGCTTCGTCGGTCAAATCAGTACGGGAAAAATATATTGTGTGACGATCAATCAAAAAAAAATTCTTCTACGCGTTCGGTTTTGTTCAACGTTGATATATTTGACGTACGAAAAGCGTAACGATTCGGTCCATTCTGTGTAATGGTAATGGTGAAAGAAGAAAAAGGGAAAAGATTTGACAAGTTTAATTAAGTCGAGAGGAACAATTGAATAGGGGAGATGGAGTTGTCGTTGGGCTCCTCTTTCCGACCAGTGAAAAGTGTTCCGGCGCATTTTCGTGCGGCTCAGGCTTCTCCCCGTTTTTGAGGCTCCCTTCGCTTAGCGATTCCCTTCGTAGGAGGTATTGTACCTATCCTATCTTTAGGCTGTTGTTTATTTTAGGGCATTTCCCGCCCGTCGAAATCAAATTGGAACATAGCTATACGCTTAATATATGCCATGCCGGCACTTGGGGATAGATGAAATAGTTACCCATACATATGTGCGATGGGGGTGGTGTGGTGGTGTGGTGGTGGTGATGATGGATGGGGTAGGGTTTGGTTACGTGGGGGTGAGGAAATAGGTACGGAATACGTTGGTATGGACTCGGGAGGTGGGGGCCCACTATCGCGGGGTGTTGTGCCGAGGCTGTTTATAGGTGAAGATGCGAATGTTTACTCGAAGGTACAAGTATATATCACATCTACTCGAGAGACACAACATTACCTAGCAAGTTGACTGAATATTTTAAGCTCTTTCGCTTATAATATCTGAAATAATACTATTTCTATTTAAGATATGCAAGTTTATAAGGGCTTCATAAAGGAAATGACCGCACTTATTACTAAGAAGGTCAGTGACATCTTACTCTTCATATAGGTAGGTCAAGTACCTAACGTAGCTAGCTATGAGTGTTAAAACTTTTTAAATGCTCGTTTTTTACATTTCTTTTCAAAGCTATGTTTACCTAAAATATTGCGGTGGGATAAGGGCAAGCCATTGTCAAACGAGTAGGTAGGTAATCTTAAATTTCCAAGAATAATCGGAATCATTTTACTAGAAAGCTTTCTAAGGTTACACAATCAGGATGGCTGTGCCACTACCTAGAGTTAACTATTCGACTATACGCCGTATCTGCGTCCGTTTAATTATAGTACCCCGTTAATTGATTATGCATATCGAAGATAGGTACCTAAAGTATTAAAGCATGTTGTTTATAACCTTTCCTCTTTGGAGAAGCGATACGGGAAGTATCTAAATTACATATTTGATCGTATAAGATATCGATTAATATCAGGAACCTATCACCCTTTCCCAGTCCAAATTTTCCCAAGAGTGATGCACAAGTCCCCAAATAACTAATAAATAATCATACACAGTATTCGCTCAAGCCGCGGCAGCAGAATTAGCAGTAGTAGTCTGTAGGAACTCGAGGTACCAGATCTTCAAGCCGCTGATGAGTGCGGCGAGCGCGAACGTGTCGCCGAGCACCCCCGTGGCGCCGCTCTCTAGGAACTGGAACTTGCAGAACTTATTCATGCTCATTTTGCCATTGAGCGTCCACACCGCGACGATCTCCTTGCCGTCGCTTGTTGAAGCCCGCCCAGGCGCCGTCCCGCTTAGCCGCACTAGTTTCCATCCGTTCCCCCACTTGTCCAGCTCCTTGACCTCTTCCCCGCGCGTGCGCCGCCACTCAAAGTCTTCTTGTCGCAGGTCTTTTCCTATACCTACTTCGATAGATAGTTCCTGCCATAGACGGGTCCAGGAGTGCTTTTGTATCATGTTGATGGTTTTCGCGGTCACCGCGGAGCCGGGCCCGGAGCTCGATTCGCCCGCCGATGTTGAGGGGTCGGCGGAGTCGGTGGCGGGGTCGGGGTCGGGGAATATCTGGATTATAGTACGCTTGCCGCTACTCCACCGGCTCTCGTGGCCCGCCGTCGCGATGATTGGATCCGATTCATTCGGCCCCGAATGCATTTCTAATAGCGGCTTCGACGTCCAGCCGCTGTGCATGGTTACCGCGTAGAGCGGGGTGTCGGCATGCTCTCCTAGGTGGAACGCACTTGATGTGAACTTCTTCTCGAAGTATGCATTAATACGCTGCGGGAATCTATTGTTTACGCCTGCGATGGCGCCCGCACCTGAGCTGCTGCCTCCGGGTACGGCTACGTAGGACGGCGCTTGGCCATCGTGCGATGGGGGGTGCGCGACGGTGTCGACTGCAGTGTAAGGCGGTGGCGCCACATCTTCTTCTCCGGCTTCTTTTAGGTTACCCATATTGGCGGTGATCTTATTTTTCCTAGGTGTAATAAAGAGCTTCTAATGACGAAAGGGTTATTAAGTTCGCAAAAACATGAGAAACCCCGTTTTCAGAGGAAGGATTATAAGCTGATCGTCCATCTGCTTAACTGCATATAAGATGATCGACTTAGACGCGGGATAAATAACACTAATGAAGCTGAATTCAGCTGAAACTACAAAAGCATGGCGCAATGAGTGGCTACGTAAAACTAAGAGTTACATAGCCATTCTATTCTTGGTTGATCTTCTCATTTTATTTACTACAATAACTTGGATACACGTAGTATTTGTTATAATACATTTCGTTGGTGACATATGCGCAAGACTCAAATTGTCGCGTAAGAGCTGAGTTCTTAAGACAACTAGTTATACGAATCATGCATTCCACTCAACATCTAGCTAACCTAATGAAGTAACAGAGTATTGTGCAGGGATATCTCCTCACTTAGAAGTTGTGCTCGGCATTTCCGCAGACATTTTGGCTTTGGGCGTTCTCGCTCCAGTTGTCACCCGACTCGGGAATAATGTCAAAGTTGATCCTCCATTGCGATCCGAATTGCGCCGCGGCAATGTAGTTAGCCCAATCTTTATGGTCGGTCATCCTACTGGCCCAGTCCTTGCCGATGGCGTCTGCAACTGCCTTGATGCCATTCTCGTTTGGCTGGGTGCTCATGTCATACTTGTATGCCTTGTACGAGACCAAGAAGTCGTACCCAGAACCTCGTCGCTCCAGTGTGCCATCCGCCGACCGGGAAGGGACTGAGAGTCGAGCTACACCTGTCACGTCGGAACGCATGTGCAACTCGTGATCGGCTACGTCCCCGTTTTCATGGCGCAAACCGAGGACTTGGAGCTTAGTCGCCGACGGCTCGCTGGTTTCGTCTCGGGAAGCTATGGGCATAACGTTCACGGCTTCGAAGTCCCGCCCATGCAAGAGGAGTCTATCTTCAACTGCAACAACGTGAGTAACGACCGTTCGGGAAGAATGTTAGGCTACTCAAACTTCATACAGCTTCGTTGGAATAGATCACGGCTTTTGAGCTCATCCTTTAGCTTTCTCGTTTCCATAAAGGGGCAAGTCCTTGCGGTGTGCAACCCCTTCTGCGATCACAGTAACGACGTCGGCAACAAGGTAGGCGAACCGCGAGCAGTCGTTGTTGCCGGGAAGATGCGTGCAGACGTCGTACGCTGTGAGGCCGCTGAGACCATACGCTGCGCCGGCGAACAAGATCTCGGCCTTGTACTCTGGAGCGGCTTGCATCACGGTTAACCTGGTGCTCAGCATGATGCACCATCTCGGAGTGTCCAACCGCTTGTCTAGCGGAAGGTAAAAGTTCACATCTCCGGCAGCGCGCTGTGAGAGTTCTGTCGTTTGGTATGGTCGCGCTACTGCTTTCTCTCCTAGAAGGGCAAGGACAGGCAACAGGCTGGATAACTTCATGGTGGTGATTTTGAATTAGAAGAAAAGGGGCGATCTGAGAATTGTTATGAGATGGGTTTTAAGTGAAATGAGAGTCTTGATATTTGATATTGTCACCTAGAAACACGTAGAGGCGTCAGCTATATAGTCGCACCACCGAAAAGATCTTCGGAATCACTGTTAGTAACCAAAATACCAATTCTTTTTCTTGCCATTTCTCTCAATCAATAACCAACATCTCATCTTTACCAGTTTAGTAGTAAAAGCATAAGGCTGTTGGAAGTATTATAGTCAGCTACGCTGTGTAAACAGCCTGATCAACTAGATTTTCTATTCTTAAACTGCGTTAACCATAGTAATTGGATTATCGCAGATCTCTTAAACTGAAGTTTTCTGTATGCTAAGACTTTGAAGATCGGTAGCCCAGATATATATGCGATTTACAAAGAATTTGCCGGTATGGGATGCATTAAATCCTATTATATCGCTAAGACCAATATGCCCGAGTTTACGAGGGGTTATTGTGTCGAATTTTTTCCATGGCCCAAATAGGAAAGTAACTCAATGGGCAGTATCTGGCACATGCGCAATTATGTAAACTCGGGCATATTGTGCAGCCCGCAGGGCTGCCTCCAGTTTTTACAACCAACACCAACTTCTCCAAACACGTACACCATTCACTATTCTTAGTTTTCTTCTGACGTCGTCGTTAGTATATTTTAACCTATCAAGAATCAATCACATTGGAGCAGCGATCTTGATATCTTGTTCGTGGCATAAAAGATCTATGTAACGCTGTTGGGAGGCCATGCAGAATTCAGGACCACATTGGATCAGGTAGAAAACGCAGGCATGTTGTAATCTCTCCATCCAACCAGCACAGCGGGTTTATGACTCAATAACCCCTGAAGAATAAATAACGTGGAAACGAGAGTATACCAAAATCAATTAGGTTACTTCCCATGCCTTTGAAAACCTATAGTCCTTAACTACACTAAGCTGCGTATTACTCCGTTCCTATATTTTAGTCTCTCATGAATCCGCAAATACGATCACCACTACGTTCTAACTACGTCTCGGCACAGTTCAACTTACACCCCTCCACAAAACTACACAATGTCAGTAACTGGGAAAGAGCTCTTATTCGAATCAGTCGCAGCGGGAGCGTCGACTTCCTTACTCCTAGGTAACGACCGTCATGACGTACATGATATTAGTTCGCTTTGTGAACGGGACACCTTATCCTTATGACTGGTCCAACCTCGGCCGACTTGAAGTAATGTTGGAAGAAGCCTTGTGAGGAGAAGATGGTTAATAAAATACTCTCTTAATAGAACGATAGCTGGTTGACATCATTTACATCAAGGTCAATAGATTTCACAGCTGTCTACCAGTTCAAGTCTCAAAAACACCCATCGCATTCCGGTTTTAACAGGCACTACTACCTCGTATTCCGATTTAATATTTCATTCCTCTATCTAGTTCTAACTAAAAATGAGGTTTCGACTTTTTAATTTGTGTTTTGTATAAAAACCAGCGCTTTAAAATTGAGTTTAAAGGGAGATGCTTATATGATACTTGGATAAATTCGAAACAGCCGCAAACCTAAGTGAATAACTACGTAAAAGTATAAGAGGTAAGTATGTTTCGAAGGTATATATATGACTTACCTTCGTGGGTTCCCGACTGGAGTGACCATCGACCGTTCAAGTCCTGGCGTTTGTATTGTCTCAGCGAACGGCAATCACTTACGAAACTGTTCAATACTTGCCACCAGAACTCCCAGACTTGCCCTAAATTCCCATCCCAAGTGTCCTTATGCCTACAGGGGGTTTTCTGCGATCAAATTGCACAACTTAGTCCAGCTACGATTTTCAAATCTAATTTTGTACAGTCAGGTGTGTTCCAGAATTGGCGCAAAATGCTCAACATAGATAAGGAGCCAGAACAACCTTATATATCCGAGTCAACTATTTTCGATGCATACTGGAGAACTCTTTGTATTAATACTGATCCTATCACAAGCTATACTGCCCTGCCTAAGAAAGCGGATGGAAACACGAGAGCCCTTCATGATTCTTGGTGGTGGCAAGTCTTGTTGCAGGAAAAGTATAGACGTGTTCCTGTCCAGACAAGAAAACATGACGAGCCCCTCATTAAAGTATTCAGGTCTAGTATCGGTGTTATTGAATATAGGGGCAATTCTACATCCTTCTGAATCCAACATCCTCTTCTCGTTGAATTATCTACTTTAACTTCACAAATGAGGCTAATTCTATATTGATCCTAGGTAGTAACGGGGTCTTTCGTATATAGAGTCTCATTCGGGAGACCTAGCCAATCAGAAAGTCACAAGGCATATATGTAGGTAGCCGGATAGGTGTATGTGCGCCCGACGATATAAGGAACTCGAACCGTTAGAAATTGAAACTCAAATCGGCTTCACCGGAGACATGCAACAACGTCACTGAGTAAGAACCAAGGACTCGTGATGCCAATTATGTCGAACCATCATCGGGCGGTTAGTAAGGTACAGTTATTCCCACCGACATACCCTTAGAATAGGCATGCATGCATTATGCGACGTGCGATCGATCGACCTCGAGTTACCGACCACAACCATACTTTGCCGTCTTACATATTTCGGTAAAGGTATTTATTCTTATGTATGAGCCTACTAGTTCCTAGGGCATATGCTTACCTAGGTAGAGATGATAGGATTGGCAAGGAACTGAGGGGAAGACACAGGGTTTACTCGACTAGGATAGCCCGGATATCGCAATGGTTGCGTCGTCTCGACTTTAAGACGGCCCGTTGTCAATAAACCCTAATGTAGCCTCCGACGTAATAACGTGTAAACCCCTCTGGATGTCTCGGATCCTCCCTTAACCAATGATAGATCAGTCTATAGCACTACTGTCGGCTTTCGCGAATCTGACGTCGTTGCCCGCCGTGTATGTTGGATCCTTTCTCTGTCCTCTGTCCCGAGCAAGACGGGTTTGTTATCTCGTTGCAAAACAAAACGATGCCTCTATACTTAGTGACCTAGTGCTTCAGCTTCGTATACAATTCCTAGCAGAGCTGCTACGTTAAACGATCAGAACTGTTATACTTAGCTACCTAGGTATCTGCTTGTCCTGAAAGTCTATCTTCGTTTGCCAAGTAGCTAGTTGGGAGCTTGACTTACATTACAGTTGGATCTGTTGAATCTTGCGGCTCTAGCTGATGGTGTGGGCGTGAAACGGTGAACAACTCGGTGTATTTTTGCTGCGGGATTTTCCTCGGCCGCTGATATACGGGATAACCTAGTTGTCCCTGTTCCTGACTTGAGATATCTGTCAGGCACAACCTGCTGAAAAGGAGGTAGAGGAGCACACGCGGTTCTCGAGGAAAGTGTTTAGATCGCGAGCTATGGACTACATGAATCAGCAGAGACAACCTGGCGAGCCTGCCGATGACGATGTCGAGGCTCAGGGAGCTAGTCACTCAAATGGAGCCAATTATACAAGTGGACAGCAAGATGGGGAGCGTTCCGTTCCGGCTACGCCTACTGGCGAGCGCGTCAAGTTCGGGGATGCTCGCCTGAATGTCCCGGCTAAAAGCTCGGACTTAAACGAATATGAGGCGCTTGATCGGTTCATCACGAACTTCGATGCGGAGCGCCGGGCCAGCCTCGCGAGTGCGATGGGCGGGCGGCGCAAGAAGCCAAAATGGTGGCAGTTCTGGAAATCTAGAAAGGGAGAACCAGAGGCAGGGCCCCAGCCTACTGACATTGGCAAACCGCCGGATTCATGGCTCGACACAGACATCCATACCGGTCTCACCAGCGCCCAGGTGGAGGAGCGCCGGAGACGATACGGCTGGAACGAGCTGGCGGCTGAAAAGGAAAACATGTTCGGCAAGGTGCTCAGTTACTTCCAAGGACCTATCCTTTATGGTGAGCAAGCTCGTCGCCTGTGCCGCCGTTCTTACGGATATTCTGGAATGTGAACTTAACAGTTGCTCTAGTTATGGAACTTGCGGCGTTACTGGCCGTGGGCCTTGGCGACTGGATTGACTTTGGTGTCATCATTGGCATCCTCTGCCTTAACGCTTTCGTTGGCTTTTATCAGGAAAAACAAGCGGCTGACGTGGTGGCGAGCTTGAAGGGTGACATTGCCATGAAAGCGACTGTTGTACGTGACGGCAAGGAACAGCAAATCTTAGCGAGAGAATTGGTTCCAGGTGATATTGTAAGTGTGTCCCTGACTCCCTGATCCCTTTAGCTGAGAGATTATAATTCCTCATTTCCTCATAATTCATCCGTTGTATACCGACGGTAAACAATAAACGAAGAACTATAGGCTTACATACCATGCAACCTAAAATAGATAATCATACAAGAAGGACAAACCGTCCCAGGAGATGCCCGGTTAATTTGCGACTACTCCAGACCTCAAGACTTCGAGCAGTATAAACAACTGAGAAACGAAGATAAGTTTAGCGAGGAGGAAGAAGCCAAGAATAACAAGAACAAAGGCCAAAATGCCAAGGATCAAGAGAAGGATGACGAAGAACATGATGAACAGTCTTTTCACTACGGCGAGCCCCTCGTCGCCTGCGACCAGTCAGCCATTACCGGTGAATCCCTCGCCGTGGACAAATACATGGGCGATATTCTGTACTATACAACCGGCTGCAAGCGAGGAAAAGCATATGCTATCATGACCACGTCTGCCAAGTATTCTTTTGTTGGACGGACCGCAGCTCTAGTCCAAGGTGCCAAAGACCAAGGCCATTTCAAAGCTGTCATGGACAGCATTGGAACGTCGCTATTGGTGCTTGTTATGTTTTGGATTCTCGTCGCCTGGATCGGGGGCTTCTACCACCACCTACGAATTGCTACACCCGATGTCCAAAATCTATTGCATTACGCCTTGGTGCTGCTCATTATTGGAGTTCCCGTCGGTCTTCCGGTGGTCACGACGACAACACTTGCAGTGGGCGCGGCCTTTCTAGCGAAGCAAAAAGCCATCGTTCAGAAGCTAACGGCGATCGAATCTTTAGCAGTATGCTACTCTTGAGTCTTAGATATCGTATCTGAGATAGACAGTTTACTAAAATATGATATTAGGGCGTAAACGTGCTTTGCTCAGACAAGACCGGCACCTTGACAGCTAATAAGCTCAGCATTCGCGAGCCATTCGTCGCCGAAGGACAAGATGTAAACTGGATGATGGCTGTCGCAGCACTAGCGAGCTCGCACAACATCGCCTCGCTTGACCCCATAGACAAGGTAACAATCACGACGCTTAAACGCTATCCCAAAGCCCGCGAGATCCTGCGCCAAGGCTGGGTAACAGACAAATTCACGCCCTTCGACCCGGTCTCCAAGCGCATCACTACCGAGTGCCACCTAGGAAAAGACAAATTCATCTGTGCAAAAGGTGCGCCACGCGCCATCATCAACCTCACCAACGTCAGCGACGAGGTGCGCGCCGTGTACAACCAGAAAGTGCGAGAATTCGCCATGCGCGGGTTCAGATCGCTAGGCGTAGCGTACAAGAAGAACGACGAGCCCTGGGTCCTCCTCGGACTCCTATCCATGTTCGACCCGCCGCGCGAAGATACAGCACAGACGATTGTCGAAGCGGCGCATTTGGGCGTGCCGGTCAAGATGTTGACGGGCGATGCTCTTGCTATTGCCAAGGAAACGTGTAAGATGCTGGGGCTGGGCACCAAGGTGTATAATTCCGAGAAGCTTATGCATAGCGGCTTGACGGGGACTGTTCAGCATGATCTTGTGCAGCGCGCCGATGGGTTTGCGGAGGTTTTCCCGGAGCATAAGTATCAGGTTGTGGAGATGTTGCAGCAGCGTGGCTCGCTGACGGCGATGACGGGTGATGGTAAGTTTTGTTCGTGTTGCCCCTTTTCCGGGCACTAATACTAAACCTATCGTAGGTGTGAACGACGCACCATCCTTGAAGAAGGCTGATTGTGGAATTGCCGTCGAGGGATCATCTGAGGCTGCTCAGGCGGCAGCTGATATCGTCTTCCTAGCTCCGGGTCTCAGTACTATCATCCTGTCGATCAAGACTGCTCGCCAGGTACGTGCCTAGGTACCTTCAAAAGCGCCGTGCTAACTCATACAGATCTTCCAAAGGATGAAAGCATACGTTCAATACCGTATCGCACTATGTCTCCACCTCGAGATATACCTCACGACGTCAATGGTAATCATCAACGAGACCATCCGTCCAGATCTCATCGTCTTCATTGCGCTCTTCGCCGACCTGGCCACCGTCGCCGTCGCATACGACAACGCGCACGTGGAGCCGCGCCCCGTAGAATGGCAGCTGAAGAAGATCTGGGTGATCAGCGTGATCCTGGGAAGCCTGTTGGCCGTTGGCACTTGGATTATTCGGGGCGCTATGTTCCTGTCCAACGGAGGCGTGGTGCAGAACTTCGGCTCGATACAGGAGGTTCTGTTCCTGGAAGTCGCACTGACCGAGAACTGGCTCATCTTCGTGACTCGCGGCGGCCAGACCTGGCCATCATGGCAGCTCGTTGGCGCTATTCTAGGTGTCGATGCCCTTGCCACTATATTCGCCCTGTTCGGCTGGCTATCTGGTAGCGGTGGCGGCGTCATGGAGACCACACCGCCTACCTCGTTTGTCAACTCGTATAACGGCTGGACTGACATCGTGACCGTTGTCGTCATCTGGGCATACTCCATCGGCGTGCTTATATTCATCGCGATCGTGTACCTCGCGCTCAACAGCTTCTCGTGGATCAACAACCTCGGGCGCAAGGACCGCAACAAGAAGGACACGCAGATCGAGAACATTATCGGGCATATCAATAAGCTTGCCAGTAAGTTGGAGCGTGTCCTTTGCTGCAGATTATGGCTAACCGAACCCCTTAGTTGAACACGAGCCAGACCCAAAGACTGGTCACGACAAGTACTTCATCGTGGAGAAGTCAGCTGCTGAAGAAGAAGATATATGATCACAGTTAAGCGATAATAATGAAAATGGGCTTAATTCTGCGTTGTTCCGTTCCTATACGCGCATTATATAAGGATATCTTTAATCCTCTCTATATATGACTGAGAGAGAAACGAGACGTTTAAGATGACATATATCATTCCTGTGTGTATATCGTTATTTTCTAAATAGGAATTGAAGGGTCTTGTATTTAAAGCTGTACTTATCATGGCCAGATAATACGCCTCTGTTGGGGATAATATAGGGCTTAAACTTGCGTGCAGATAAAAAGGGAGTTTAGTATCTCTAAAGAGAAAACGGCGCTACAAATAATGATGCGTAGTTAAATGAAGATATAAAGTATGTATGTATGTATCCATAGCTATACACAAACCCCCAACCCTTGGAGACTCGTCGCACAAGTCCCCGTGTCTGCAAACCCCCTGACAAATGCAATAGCCAAAACTTAGGAGGTACCTAGGTAAAATATGCTAAAATGGGTACCCTTTTCCCTTTTATGAAAACGCCGATCTATCCGCGCGCCCAAGTCATGTACACCGAGGTCTAACCACCTATATATAGTTTATCAACTATCTAATCGAGAAAACCTCCGTCCCTCATCGCTGCTGCTACCTATAATGGGTTTTGCAGCGCCAATTTTGATGCCGCGCCCCCCTTTCATTGAACCCTCCAAGCTGAGATTGCTGGCAGCACTATTGCGTCGGCGATTCCGCTTGTTGTTCTGAGCTGATGGACTAGGCGTTGCGGGGGGAGGTAGATCTCCCACACCGTCGTAACCGCCGGCCGAGTAAGGCCTATCGGGTGAAGTCAAGGGCGGCGTATTTTCATCGATCGTGGCGATAGGGTTAGGATGAATGTGAAGACTAGCCGTTGCAGCGTTGATAGGTTCTGCCGCTTCGAGAGTGAAATAGGAATTATTCACGGCATCTTCACGCGCCTCGTGCTGTACACTCAATAGAGGCTCTCCATTGACCTGATATCCATTAGACGCAGAAGCCCCGTCGGATTCGAATGCGTCGCTGCTACGATGTGTACTAATAACACCATTTAGTTTTCCATTTCTAGTAGTGATAAGAACAAGAAATGAACATCAACACCACAGGAAACTCACTGGTTAAAAGAATTAGAGACTGTCAGACTGACGCTGCGCGCGCGTCGATAGCTTTCAAACTCTTCTAGCGAATGCTCTGCGCCCTTGAAATTCTCCAGGGCGTCAAATACGTGCTGAAAGACTTGAATGTCAACGTCGCGAGCCCAGAGAAAGTCAAGGTGTTCATAGTGAGGAACTTCAGTTGCTACAGTCCTATTAGGTAACTCTCGCATCATCACCTCGATGTCAATTAGGGAGTCGCTCCCTCCATAGATCAAGACAATGGGAGTCTTAATATTGCGGGTTGGATACTTGGCGACTTTCGTGTACTTGCTCGACGTGTTGATAGATAGAGGTGTTTGCACATCATCATCGTACATTTGGAACGATCGATTGCGAATGATCTGGAACCAATGAACGACCGACTTCGTGCTAGTAAACGAATACAGGTGTGGATAAGCCGCGAGCTTCTGGCTAACTGAAATGTTTTTGGTCTTCCAGCCGAACAGAAAAGACAAGCCCATATCAATGAGTTTCATAAACAGAGGTGGGTACAGTATAGACTGCCACATCGTAGCAGATGAGAGAATAGAACGTCGGCCAAAGAGAAGGAAGAGGACCTGAGGCGAGGCTTTGATGAGAGCATCGACGATGCCATTATTCAAACCAGCCGGTGCCATAGCCGGTGCCAATGCTATGAATACATTGACCTGCTCATTCAATTTAGGGTGCACCGCTAAGCTAGCAAACGCTTGCGCAGTACCCTGGGAGAAGCCAATATAGGATAAGGACTGCTGCTTTGTGTTCTCTAGGATGTAGTTGATCGAGTCTGGGATATCGTGAAAAGCGAACTCGTCGATTGAAAAGTTCCAAAACTCGGGCGTAGTAGGGGGGTAGTTGATCGACTTTTTGGAGTACTTGTTCCCACGGTTGTTACCCAGCTAATATCCCACAGTTAGTATGTACAATCCTGTTGTATGGAGATATATCACTGAACGTACCCAAACGTCGAAACCTCTTTCCACCAACACAAAGGGTAGAGACCTCTGAGCGTCGGTGAGGCAAACCCAAACTTCGCTATTCATGAGGAGACCATGGTGAAGATAAACGACGCGCTTCTTCAGACTAGCGGGCCCGTCGTTGACTTTCATGTCTTCTTCGCCTTTCCTCCATGCAAGACGATGTATTCCAAGCAGGTATCCATCTTTTGTTTGTAGCACATGTTCCTCGGCCGTGTAGCCGTACATGGCACAGAGGTCAACGAAATCGGAGGCATTTCGAACCGACGTCGAGATGGCTGAATGCAACGTGTTAGTGTGGAAGAATGGTAGGGGGGGTAGAAGCAAGTCGTACATTTCCTTCTCTGTTCGGCTCTTTTCTGCGCCGGCGAAGTTAGCCTGTTAAACAGCCGTCGCGAGGCTCGGTAGAGAAGATTCAACAATGAGGATGCTGTATTTAGGATATTAGTATAGGGGAAGCAATAGACAGAATGGTATTTACATACGTAACGCTAGCGTTAACACTCGGATAAGGGCCTCGAGCCCGACGAGAAAGAAGGAGCCCACGAGGGCAAAATATTCGGCGCTATTACGCGTATTAATATCAACAAAGATACTTGCCTTCTTACTTATATAGAGATACTACTAACATGTCCAATCGACCAAGAAACGGTAAGGGCATTTTGGGTTTGATATGTTCGGTATAACAGCACTTAGCTCAAGTAGGGATAGAAGACGTTCGATGCCAGTTTAGCGCTACGCTATCGCAATAAGCTGTTCATTTTCCTTCTGTCTAGCTAAGTTTCCATCCAGAGTATTACCTCTAAGAGTGAGGAGTTACGATTCTCGAGGGAGATTGGACGATGTTATGGAAAGAAATAGCTGTCGCGGTGTAGGTAGGTCTTGGTGATGTCACATGCGAATAGGATTGCAGCAAGCTAAGCTCAAGAAAGACAGACAATCGGCGTTCCAATATCCATGACCGTTAGTATCTAGTTATAAGGAGAAATAAATAGTAAATTAAAGTCAGGATTGCGATTCTTAAATAAATATTAGAATTCTTAGATTTTTAAACTTCGAGAAGGCATAATATCGAAATCATAGGTAATTTCAGACCGTGGCAATGGAGCTCCTTCCCCTACGGTGTACTAGGTACATCACATATGTAGATTCCCTTAGTCTCCCCACTAATGATAACTTAAATTGGTTGGATGGTTGACCTGGATAGCGGAAAAGGAAAGAATGAACTCTACCAACAACATGCCAGCAAAGCTACCCCTGCATTAAAGTTGCATATGCTAGGTACATAACTCCCGACTTGTCCGCCGAGTTATCCACCAATTGGTTTTTGTTGCATTTCTGTAAGCTCGGACCAACTAACTTTTCGCAACTTTCGCGATAGAAACCATCTGATCCGATCTGATGTGACCTGGTAGAAATTGATTCCTCTACATACAGCTTCGCTCGCAGATCCCCCACATCTGGTCAATATGCCAAGCTCATGTAAAGAAATAAGTATGCGTGGACCTACTCATAGCGCCACTATGCCTCTCAGCCTGTGTGGACTTCTGCTGACGGCCCACTGACTACAGGAGCCGCACTGGCGGAATGCCTGCAAGAGTCGGATTGCGTGATGGTACAGCGGCATACCGCAGCCGAATGTCTGCGCTCACCGCTGTCCGAGACCCTCCCGATGAAGTGCCAACAGCTGAAGAAGGGCTTTGGCGAGTGTAGGAGGGGCATGATCGATATGCGCAAGCGGTTCCGCGGGAACCAACCCATCACCTTCAAGAGCCTCGAAACGACCGAGCAGTCGGGAGAAGGATACCAACTTTATGCCGGAAGATCCGCTTTCGCCGGCTCCGTCCGTAAAACCGACGGGAACGAGCCTGAGCCCAAGGACTGGCGAGAATTAGAGAATGAAAAGTACCGAAAAGAACAGGAATCGCAAAAGAAATAAAATGAGATATACCATACAAAAGATTGGGCGGGATATATCACAGCAAGCATTTGACGGCGTTGGGGTTGGATTAGCATATCTGAGTGTGTCAAAACCGGTTGTTTATATCTTCAGGTACGGCTTGCAATGGGTCAACTCTGCTCAGACGGTAAAAAATCATATGGCATGACGCTGTCTCTCAGCCTTATTCCCTACGATCTGAATCAAACCCTAAGTCTATCTTCAGTCTCTGGGTATACTGGTTCTACTGACATAGGCAAATACTCAGTTAGCGTCTTGAGCTCGGGTTTTTTTACGTCTGACAGGTATTCACACGGACACTATAACCTGCTCTATATATCAAACAGATATACCCGATCCTCTTGGGGAGGTCCGAAAGCTGCTAGTCATAAGACCGAGATGACTTAGTTAGTCAGCCGTACGCTTCTAATGGTATCAAGCGACGATCAAAATCGCTTAAAATCATCACATGTGTAATTGTAATTACCTAAGCGTCACGCCCCCTTTGTAATGAGACAAGGATCTACTAGATCGGCCTTGGCAAAAACTCAAGACTCCATAACGAAATTTCATCTCCATGCTCCCTCCCGAGGTCATTTCGCCCATTCACGCCGCGTAACGTCGTACATTGTATGATAATTGTATGACGATACGTGTAAAAACTTCCATGGCCCGTTAGCTATGGTGGTTATATAAGCCTTATCTATCAGTAGACGTAGACTCATTTTGAAGCCGTCTATGTAGAATTGAATGTCTAACAGGTTATTTGCTACGTACCCGTATTAGGCTTCCTATGCGGATGGACGTGAATTATACATTCGTGAACCTTACTTAGGCGGCTATTCAACGACGTCATACGCGTCCCGATCTACTTACGTAGTACGGTACTAAACCCTCAGATGGGTCGACTAGAGCCGCCACCGTCCCGGCCGCAGCGTCGACGTATAACTACCGCGAGCACCATCTTTACGATACTGCTTATAGCGCTACTATGCTACACGCGTTATAGCGAACAACTATTGCCCATTGTGCCAACAATAATGACGCAAGACGACCAATCCCAATCTCATGTCTCCCTGACGAAACCAACCCTCCTCGCCTCCTTACCTCCCTCCGCCCTACCTAGACCCCACGGTGGCCCCCACTCGCCTCGCCTGATCATGATCGGTGATGTACACGGGCAGCTCGACGCGCTGGACGCGCTGCTTGCCAAAGTTGGATACTCGAGCGCGCGAGGCGATACGGTTATTTTCACGGGGGATATGGTGAACAAGGGCCCAAACAGCGGGGGTGTAGTAGACCGCGCCGTGGAGATAGGCGCATACAGCGTGCGCGGTAACCACGAAGACCGCGTGCTGCGAGCGTGGGCTGAAATGCAGGCCGATGCAAATACAGATACAGATACGGACACAGAAATAGATGAAGAAGCGGAAGGGGACGCAGAGGCAGAAGGGAAGAAGAAGAAGAAGAAACACGGGCATAAGCACAAGCATAAAGGTAAGAAAGGAGACCGCAAAACGGCAAAGAGCCTCACATCAGCCCAGCGCTCCTGGCTTGCCGCGCGGCCCGTCATCCTGCACGTCGGTACTATATCTCCGTATTACGGGGACGTGGTGGTTGTACACGGGGGTCTAGTCCCCGGCATAGCGCTCGAGAAGCAAGACCCGCAAGTAGTCATGAACATACGGACTATTATTATGCCCTCCTCTTTCTCCCCCGAGTCCTTCCTCGATTCCCTAGATTCATCTATCGACTCCTCTTCACACCCACACCTAAAGCCGAGCGAGGGCCGCGAAGGACACCCTTGGTCCAAGGTATGGAACACATTGGAGAAGGCGAAACGGAAGAAAGGGCGCCACGGAACGCCAACAACAACGACAACGACAACCGTAGTCTACGGCCACGACGCCAAGACCGGTCTCAGCATACGGCGGTACGCCTTCGGACTAGATAGTAACTGTGCGCGAGGCGGGGAGTTGACAGCGCTTATATTCGAGCCGACTTCACCTTCCACCACCGTCTCCAACCCTCCAAACGACAACAGCGACAGCAATAGCAACGACGTAGACGAAGATGCAGAAATAACAGCATCCGAAAAGCTCGAGCAGGCCAAACACGGCATAACGCATCGACTCGTCAGCGTCGCCTGTCGACCTCACTAGCAAACTTATGTAAATAATACACCGGGACGAGAACCGGGGCGAGGAGGGCGAGGAAGAAGCCCAGGATAAGCAAGATAAGGAGGAGTAGGCCGACAATGGTGAAGAGGAAGGTGAATAGAGAGACCCAGAAGGCTACGGATAGAAAACCCATTGTGTTTGTGGTTGGCTGGATTTGGATTGGATCCTTAGATCGGTAGAGTTTATTTGTCGGGGCTATTTGGCCAGAAAGATAACGATGGTAGTGTTGCAGTGGGCAGTGGTATGATCTTGTTGGGAGATCATATCTAACCCGACGTATCTGCATATTCATAATGCATGGCGGTGGCGTTTCTGCGTTTGTGTACCAGTAGGTATACCAATTTGCATACATTATACCTAAGGCAAGGTATCCAATACCAACACAATACCTAATAAAAAGATATTTCGACTGGTCACATTTTCCGTAGTATTCCATACGACATCATAGGTTAATTAAAAAGCATCGGTTAAACCCTCTAAATTTTGGGTTTCGACTATGGACTTCATAGTAGAAATCTGCCGGTCCTATATTCGCCAAGCAGATCCCTTACAACTGAACTTGTTGTTACCCCGGAAGCGAAAGAGGCCAAATTCACTATGCATTCTAGAAACTCCTAAACAACCGATTTCTCAATGCACAATTGCCCTGTGCCCCTTTTTTGCCTATCGGCGTCGTTGATTTACGCCGAGATCTTCTTCTTGAGGATGTCCTTGAGGGTGTCGGCGTCGGCGGCGAACTTGCTGATACCCTCACGTAGCTTCTCGACAGCCATTTGCTCCTCGTTGAAGTCAAATCGGAAGAGCGGTTCATCGTTGATGTAGGTCTTCTTAGTGATGTCGAGTGACGCGGCGCCAGAGGCGTCGAGCTTCTTGGGGACGGGAATGGTCGAGTTGAGGAGCTCCTCGAGCAGGGTAGGCTATAGAGGTGTTAGAGTTATCATACTTAGGTGTATGATCAAAAAGTAGTCACTTACAGAGATGGTCAGGTAGTCACAGCCAGCGAGCTCGATGATCTCGCCAATATTTCGGAAAGAGGCACCCATAACAATGGTCTTGTAGCCGAACTTTTTGTAGTAGTTGTAGATAGCCTGGACAGACTTGACACCGGGGTCCTCCTCCTTGGAGTACTCCTTCTTCGTCGCGGCCTTGTACCAGTCAAGGATACGGCCGACGAAGGGGGAGATCAGGAAAGCACCGGCCTCAGCGGCGGCAATAGCCTGGACGAGCGAGAACATGAGGGTCAGGTTGCAGTTAATGCCGTGGTCGCGCTGTAGGATCTCGGCAGCCTTGATACCCTCCCATGTCGACGCAACCTTGATCAGAACGCGGTCCTTGGAGATACCTTGCTCCTTGTATAGCTATATAATACGTGTTAGTATAATTATCTAATAGACATTGTTTGTTAGCGTATACTGAAGACATACGTCGATAATGTGCAAGGCCTTCTCAACCGAAGCCTTGGTGTCGAAGGAGAAGCGGGCGTCGACCTCAGTCGAGACCTTGCCGGGGATGATCTTCAGGATTTCCCTGCCGAACTCAACCAGGAGTCGGTCAACAGCAGCATCGACTTGGCTGTCGATATCACCACCCTGTCCCTTAGCATATTCTACAGCAGCGTCGATCAATTTGGCGTATTCGGCCTTCTTAGACGCGGCGAGGAGGAGAGAAGGATTAGTGGTAGCATCTTGCGGCTTGTACTTTCCGATGGCTAAAAAGATGTTGTTAGTATTGCTATGAGAAGGATGAGGTTATACCGATTTGACCCGCTCGCTATTGTCGCGAGTTGGGTTTAGGATGCGGGATATACTAACTTGCAAAGTCACCTAATACGTCAGTTAGTGCCACCGTGTCTTTGTTTAGGGGTAGAATTGGTGTAGCTTACCAGAGTCGCAGACGACGACCTAATTGACGAAAACATTTGCAAGTTAGCCAATTGCTAGCTATGAGGCGAGAAAAGACGAGATTTTTTGTTCCGCGCTCACGGAGGCAGTACTGCAGATGAGCTCCTCCATCTCGAACAATAAAAACTCACGATGGAGGGGTAAAGTTGATTGAGGGGTAAACTGCACTTACCGTGCCGGTGCTCTTCAACTGTTCGAGGGAGTTAGACATTTTGTATTAGTGTTGCTAGAAACTCCGAATTGATATGTATGGGACGAAGCGATCGTATTGTGAGCAACGTAAGACGAGCTGGTTGCAGATGTAGTTGTAGTTGTTTGAAGATGGGACAATAGGCTCAACTATTGTTGGGGGCAGTCGGGATATCCCTAATACTTTATGTACCATTATTATTATTATTTGCCCGCGATGGCGATGGTGGGGCATTATCAACGGGACAAGCGTCATATGTCCACAGTATGTACTATGCACTACCTACGACGTAAGCTACATCTACACTAGGTTGCATGTAGCCTTCCGTACCCAGAAAATTATCAAAGCACCTGATTTTTTTTTCTATCGTAGATTTTTCTTTCCTCTTCGACAGTTTCGACCCAAGCTCTTTCCTACTTCCGCTCCATTTCGGCCGATTCATCCAATAGGTCGCGCTCGCCTTACCGTCAGCCACCAACCCACTTATACCTATGTACATGTACGTCCTAAGACAACAAGGTGGCGTTGCGTTGTACATGGTTTATCCATGCTGGTATTGTACCTAAATTATAATTAAATCTACTTCAGAGGAAGTTGCCTGCGTAGTAGAATTTACAGTTATTAGAATGGATTGTTAAGCAAATATTGGATAACCGAAGTCTTCCTGACAAAGCAACCGCCTTCAGTCGCTTGCCAATGATAATATTTGGTCCTTGGTACTTGGTCCTTCGCTAATAATAATAGTACCAACCTACAATAAGTCTAGTTACCCGCATACGGAACGTCTAAGTTACGTATGTATTACTATAAGCCTCAGATAGCCAACCATATGGACATATCGACGTCGTCGCCTCCTCCACGTGGGGTCTTGATCCGCTATTGGAATTTCCCACTTCCTCAGCGTTTTGCTTCTCTCCGCCAAGACAGACTTCACGACAAATAGCGCTTCATATACGTTAGAGGTCTCTTTAGCCTTTAACCTCAAGTGCTGTCTATCTTATTGATTCTATGGTAATTTTTCTCTTATTGCCAGTGCCGTTATTCCATACCAACCCAATCAACAATACGTTGTATATCTTCACTTATTATATAATGATGGGGGCAGTTTCTTAAAGCTGTTGTCTTATAAATTGACGGATGTACTGCTAGGTCCTTGGCAAGGGGATTATTTTTTCCCGTTCACTTTATAAGATGACCGATTTTCGGCGCTCACCGTTTTCTATATGCCTCATGCATAAAGAAATACTCAAATAAGAAGCAAAAAATTTCTAAGCAATAGCAAATGATTACGAAAAATGTCGCGTAGCAAAAGTACTTAACCGTCGGATCTATTAAATGTCTAGGCGAGCATAGAACCAGCTCAATCCAAGACCTAATACTTGTAGGAGGAACAAAGTATCTAAAAGACAATTCGCATTCATTATTCCTAAGCATAGGACGTAATTTTGAAGGACCTTCTATCTACACGCTCGTGTGATGCTTTTACTTGGCTATAGACTACACGTTCTATTTTGCTTCATATTCTACGATGTAGCTTTTTTTGTCTTCCCCATGCCATGCAAATATGCTGAAGAGACCCGATACTGACTAAAGAAAACCAGCCCAACCCAAGACGGAAATGGGGCAAGGTGGTATTATTTAGTCCTCGGTAATATCACCATACTCCCACATACCCAAGCGGTCCGCCTTAGCCTGGGACTCAACCTCGCGTAGTTTCTTCAGTACTTCCTCGGAAGCGCGTCCGCGCTCCCATGCCTTCAGCTTCTTGGGTACAAGCGCGTGACCGTTTGCCACGACGTCCTTGTTAATGGAGTCTGTAAAGGTGCTGCTCGGCTTCTTCTCGTCGAACAGAGTGATATAACTCAAGCCTTCCTTCTGATCCACGAAGTCGAAGCTGGCCACTAATTTTCGTCCATCAGTGACCTCGGCAATGTAGTTTAGCGCGTCATTGAAGTAGTCTGGGGCAGTAGGTAGCTGGATGAACGAGAGTGCGGCGTCGGTAGCTTGTGCCTTGAGTTTCTGCGTCGAGAACTGTGGCTGGTCCAGTGCTCTGAGGCTAGACCAGGGGATCTTTTCGCTGTTGCCATAATCTATATAGACGACTTCGGCAACCTTAGCAGTCCTGTCATTCGACCGCACTCGTGCACGGTACCATTGACCATCAGCTGTGAACTTAGCCGCCACGAGTTCGCCGGTCTTGGGGGGGTTGGCAAGGGGCTTATTGTTCTTGGAGTCAATGTGGAACTTTTTGAAATCGTTCATTAGAATTTCTAGAGCGGAAGTTCCCTTTCCAACTTCCTGAATCTTGATTCTCCCGTTTGCATCAATGTTGGTGACGACTATCTCCCGGTAATCGGAAGCTTGCTTATCCGTGGGCACAGCGTCATTTGAAGTTTCTACGTTAGTAGTCTCTTCTTCAACATCTTCGTCTTGTGACGGATCCCAGTCCTGCCAGATGCCTTTACGGCCTTCCTTTGCACGCTTCTCGGCAGCTAGAAGCTCAGTGACATTGCCAGCTTTCTCCGCTGAATATTGATGGACAGACGCAAGGCCCTCCTCTACCAATACCTTGGCAAAACTCTCGCGGTTAAGGTAGAGGTCGCCAATGAACCCACCAACTTTGTCAATGTCGTGAATATCGATTTCGCAGTCACGCTGGTTACACCGACGGTTGGCAAGATCTAATGCTTCCTGCCCAAAGGGCTCACCCTTCTCTTGAGGTAAACGAGGTGCTCGAGGAGCACGAACGCCAGCGAGCACCATGGTGAGCTTGACTCCTTCTCGAGGAATGATGATGGTGAACCTTGAGCCAGCTTTGCAGAAATCGACCACCGCGGGTACCTTCTTTTGACGTTGAAGAGTTGAAAGCTGAATTTTGGCCTTCTGGACAGACTCTGAAACATCGACGTACGTCTTAGCTTTTGATGCCTTTCCAGACCACATACCCTTCTTCTCTTCCTTCGCCTTTTCTTGGGCCGCAAGTAACTCATCGTAGTTCGGGGCTCTATCGGTGTCATCCTTACGGTGACGAATCACGGAACACCAGCCATCTTGAACTAGTTGAAGGTTGATATTCTTGCCTTTCTCGGTGACAGTAGCTACATCACGTGCCTCGAAGTCGTCGCTAGCAGGCCGGTGTCCGTCGATAGATACTTTTACGTGTTTACCAATCAATTTCTTTCGAAGGTATTCCTTTGCCTCGTCTCTAAAAGGGGCTTCGGAAGGCTCGTTAGCCCTGGGGCCCCGAACACTGCTAAGGTTGATTCGCTTCTCAGCACCGTTCTTAGTACGAACAAATATCGCGTCCGCTCCTTGGATTTTCGAGACAATCATATCGGATGAGCTACCACCCTCGGCCTTGGCTACGTGGTCCTTGTGGAGGCGTAATTTGGCCGCCTGGGCCTTCTTTTCGGCTGCTCTCAAAGCTGCCATCTTCGGACCGAGTAAGGTAGAGTGGAAGTCATTGCATCTTGCAAGTCCATCGGCAAGCAAGAATTCCGCGATACTACCACGAGGGTGCAAGATGGAGGCAATGAGTTGTCCTTGCGGGCTGGTACCAACTATTTCGACCTTGACATCACGCTGAAGAAGTCTTTGTTCGACGTATTGTCGCGCTTCGCTTCCGAACTCCTCCGCGGGTTGAGTCTGGCCAGTCGACTGGTTAACTCTCTCTGTAGAGGGTGCACGGATACCGGCAACAAGCGTCATAACCTGCAGGTGCTTCTTGTCGGACAACTTTAGGCGTACAAGCAGGCGATCACCGCTTAGAACGCGTTCGACAACTCCGTCGATACTTTTGCCCTTCCATTCATCGATATCAAGGCCGTTGATATCGTTTTGGACTTCGATAATTCCGCCAACGCCTTCCCAAAGCCCCTTTCCCTCGGCCTTGGCTTCTGCTTCTAGGGAACGAAGAGTTTCAAGTCGTTGCAGAACTTCTTCAGACTCTTCTTTACGGCCTGCATCTTCTCTAACCTTAAGCCAGCCAGCCTTGACCAATTCGTCCGGCAATTTGGTCCCCTCTTTGAGCTGGGCAACACCGTATTCTCTTCCAGACGTAGGGATGGTGTAGAGAATGGAGCATTGAACAACCTTGCCAACGACTAGCTTCCTTAGGTAATCCCGGGACTGGAAGGCGAAGGGTTCGTCGCCATCTCTCTTGAGATGCGGGCCGGTAACGAAGGCTAAGGAAAAAATGCGCTCCGCATTCGGGTTGCTCTGGCTGGTTAGCACTAGAGTGTCGCCGCTTAGGACCGATTTCACGTTAGCAAAGAATTGTTTCGCCATTTTGCTAGCGAGGAGACGGTTGAGTCAATGGAGGATGAGGGTGGGAGGGAAAGGAATCCAGGGAATTCCTGCAATCTGTCTAAATAGTCAGTAAATAGTTGAATACTTGTACCGGTAAGTCGCTTGGTAGCGTGCGTTGTAGAGGTCTCGGAGACAACACTAGTTGCGTGGATATAAAAAGGGTGAAGAAACATGACGGTGTATATGATATGATATTACATATCCTGGTCTAAAGTGACTAAGGGGTTATGAGCTCCCAGTTATAGCTCTCTATAAAGCCACATAGTTGTATTGCCAATCATCATGTGGAGTTGCAGGTTTGTATAACATTCCGTACGATGCAAAAGGCCAACGTCTTTTCCGGAATATTTACACATATATAGTGAACTGCGAACATCCATAGTCGTCGACGAAGCTAAGTGACGACTTATAGGAAAGAAGAGAGTAACCCAATATCGTGACAAGTGGCATCTCACTAAGACTTTGGTGGACCACGTGTTTGAAGTTACATGTTCATGCATGCTGGCAACTATCATAACTTGGAGTGAAACGGGAAAGGACATAAAGATCTAAGATTGTACGCTGCTCGGCTAGATACGATATCAAAGCGAGTGTACCGGTAAGTGGCATGGACACCGCCATCCTCGCTTGATTGGCATTGAAGGTGCAATGTTAGAGTTAGGGGTAAGGATGGAAGCTTGTGTTTGTGTTGATGAGGTATTCGGAAGTTGAATTTCAAGAAGGGACGCCATTAGACTTACCCAAGTGTGAGAGTTAAAATATGCCTCGAAGTTTAAGTTAAGTAAAGAGAGTTAGAGCATTCGGAGTCGAGTGTGACTAGGTAAGAAGAAGCCAATGCATTCAGAAAGCGTTGACTTTAAGCTCAAAATGCATATGTCGTGTGCGCTTTGGATTTTGACAACTTTCATCAATTTTGTGGGGAAGGCCAAGTCTCTTAAGCCAAGTTCTGACTCGTTGAAAGCTGAAGGACCAGTCGAGGCTTAAGTCCAGGGGTATTGGGGGCTCCCCTAAGCGAGAAGATCGCTGAAATGATGCGGCAGCTGGCGGGGGATAAAGATCTAACCTTAGTACTATGTAAACGGGGCAGACGGGGTCGGTCTTTCCCCATCTGCCCCTCCTTTGTTTAAGATATGAGCGGGGTACTTAGGTACTAGTATTCAATCTCGATGCGTTTTGTTAAGACTAAAATAGACGAAAGAGGTAGGGAAAAAAAAGGTATTGGAAGCAGCAGGCATAGTGCAGAGCACGAAGAATTGAAGGAGCTTGGATCAGGGGTTCAACTAGTCCATTAGGTATTCCCTAAATAGTACCGAGCTATCTGCCATGGGCCATGGCAGTCAAGGGTATGGAGGGTAGCAAACGAAAAAACACCAGCATGTACTTTAGTAGCTCAGGTACATGATCTACATTTATAGATGTACGCAATCAAGGTGATCGAAGTTACTGTTGTAAGTCTACAGCTAGTTGGGGGTTGCATAGACAAATTTAGTCAATGGCTTAAAATTTCATTTCCAATTGCTAAAGATTGTATTTTTTTAAAAACCTATGATCGACTATATATCGGTCAAACTCATTCAACTATACTGAATTTCGTCATTAGGTTTCATACCATTTGGCACATGTTTAGTTCGAGATGCCAATAACACCTAGCAAGGATTGTGTTAGTTGTATTGTTAATCACGAGAAGTAACATATAACATATATTAGAATAACTTACCGCAAGCGGGTCGAGGACCGGCGTTACCAGTCTTAAGGGACTCCTCGTTACCTCCCTTGCCGAGGTCATCAGTGCCGCCGTGGAACACGACAGTTCGCTTCACCCAGAATTAGCATATGCAATAATATAACGTCGAGAATACATATTATGTCACTTACGCCAATGATGCTCTCGGGGCCGATCAGCTTAACAAGCGAGTCCTCGATAGAGCCCTTGGCGTTACCTTGAGCGTCAGTCACAACGTTGCCCAGGTCACCAACGTGACGAGTCTCGTCGGTTCGGTCGCCATGAGTCTTGTTGTGGGGGTTGACTATATTGAAAATCAGTCATTTCTTTCTGCTGAATCCTTCCATTTCTCTAAGAGTATGGCATCACGTACAGTGAGGGCCTGCAGACGTGCAACCGTTGGTGTTGTCACCGAAGGTGTGGATGTGGAAGCCACGCTTGGCGTTGGGGTCGTGGCCGGTAACGTCCCATGAGATGGTGGTCGGGGCAGACTCGGAGGCCTGCTCAAAGGTGACGGTTCCAGTGACCTTGGAGTCACCACGGACGACAGCGACTAGAGTTGTAGATTCTTGTCAGCAATGACTCGGACCATTGTATAGGGCTGAACTAAAAAGGCACGCGGTAGGGGTTTCCGCAGGAAAATCTAGTAGAAGAGGACTCGTATGATCCCAATGGTTCGGTTTAGCTTAGCAGACGGCTTCCCATTGTGTCCAACAAAGTGTCCATTCATCACAGCCTTGGTGTACGACAGGGACTACTAGTTGACGAAATGCGCGCAATCGTGCTCATGCAGCCATCCTGAATCCGGAAATGATGGAATTGATGGTAGTTTAAATAACGGAGACTCTTCCACGTACCGGCTTTGACCATTTTGACTACTTTTGTTTTGGTTTTCGGTAGTTTAAGGCTAGAATTCCAATACAAGCGATGATGGTTGTCGATTTTTAGGAGAGGGGAAAAGAAGAGGGGGAGCTTCTCACGGTCTAATTTGTACTGAAGAGGAGAGGGGATCTCGGAAAGCCACTCCTGACCCGGCTATCCTTACCTTTCCATCCACCACTACTTTACTATGAGGTACATACTAACAAGGGCAGGACCTTACATAAACAGTTTCACTACGAAAAGAACCTTACCGTCTTCTATTCAAGTAGCGTAAAGCACGCTATCTCGAGAGCTACATAAATTAGGTATGTACCTCGTACTGCTCTTACATTATGTACTGGTAAGGTGGGGGGTTTCTCACAGCGTGCTCTGCATAGAAAGATTGCCCCGCTTCGCGTCATTGGCGTCATATTTTGCTATGTGATGCTTACAAATGATATCATTTTCTCGTCAAAGAGCTCGGTCCTTACCACTAGATTCGGACTTTATCCAACTCGCACTACAGCTGCAGAGCGAAGACGGAACCGGGTTTGATTGGCTGTATGTATTGAAGTATTTTCCGTATGCAGACAGTTTTCTTCATCCGAGTATCTGAGCCCTTACCGTCTCGCTGATGAAAGGATATAGGTAGAAAATCATTGGTGTTGACATATCTCTTCTGTTTAAGGACATCTGGATCGTCGAATGGATATCATCTCAATTGGATTGCTACCAGCTGGCCGCTAACGTATACCGGGGACATGCTTTGTCGCGCACGTCGTTGCCATATGTGCCAAATAGCGACGGCTCCTCTCCTTTAAGCGGCCTAGGCACGTTTCTTATGAGTGCTCAAAAGATGAGATAGGACAGGAAACTTCGTCGAAAAGAATTGGGTTGGAAAGTATGGCGTATATATTTTAAGATAAGACATTATAGGAATCTACTCAATAAGTCTGAATGTGTAGTTATTCCGGGTTATGATTTCATTTAATTCTTTGTGAGGGACATGAGAGACACTACCTTATTGTGTTTGTAACTAGACTTTCGTCGTTTGAAGTTTTGTCTTTGATGCAAGTCTAGAGATAATGAACCTAGAAAGAAGAGCGAAGGCTCGTAGATGATCCTGTCATGTACATAACTACCTGTATGAATGTCTTATGCTTTCGAATACCAACATGCAACTTATTTTCGAGCGTGGAATATTCATTTGCCAATGTATTTAGGATGAGCTCCTCGACTCCTTATATTTGGTCTATGCATTACGGGTATTTACATAGACATCCTACAATAGGATGAAGCAGAGAAGTGTTTGTACTAGGAATTTGCTAAAATTTGTTTGTTATTAGGCGTAACTATAGAATATAGAAGAGCAAGGTTGACATTCGTAAGTCCATACGACAGACTACTTGTAACGGTAATACCTACATGGCCCGATTCACGTCGCTGGAAATTAGTAAAGCTACAAGTACTCGAGGATGCCGCGTAATAGGCTAGGATCAACCTAGGAAAACGCTAGACCGAGGGTACCAGACCGAGGGTACCTTAAAAAGGTCGCCATCTGCAAACTGCCTCGCTGCGGCTTATCACACGGAGTAACGTTTAATTGGGGTGTGAATTCCTCGATATGTAGTAGTGACACTTGAGTACGGGGTTCTAGACTCTTGAGAATAATCACAAGCTTTTCCATCTATATAAATAAGCAGCTTATGTCGCGTGGTAGCAAACGAAGGATGTCTGGGGGGCATGACGACATGTTTGGTTGCTGTCGAAAGTTCTCTGCGGTGCAACGCCGCGGCTGTAATGCATACCAGAGGCAAAGCTACACGTCTATTTCTTCGAGATTGACGGTAACGCTAATACTAGGGTATCACGGTATCACTCCGCGGTAGGTTTGAAGAGCGAGAAGGTTCAAGTCAACCTTTTAGCTTCAGAGCATTCTCCAATTCAAGAGATTATGTGGGATACCTACTCGGACACCGGTTGATTCCGGTTGGCAGGAGAACCTAGGGAGACTCGATAAATTTAGATCACCAGTTTCAGCCCTATAGCTAGATAACGCGGTTCCAACGATTAGTCGTATGTAGAATGGGAATTATCATCTCAAATACCTACCTAACCTACCTACATATATACTCCACACGCGGTGGAGGTTAGTACCCTCCCGTGACTTGTAGGGAAGATGAAAAAGGATCTTGGCGGCGGAGGGATGCGATATGGCAAGGAAGACGTGGCAGCGTACCACTGGAAGTGCTGCCCGTTATAACTAACCGCATAGTACTAAGTCGGCTCGGATCTTGCAATGGTACGTTTGACCTTAGTGTAACTGGCGTGTGAAGGAATAATTGCCTCTGGTTGACTTGGTGTTTCGCGTTCGATAGAAGACTTAAGAATCCGACTTGACACAATAATTACTAGCAGTGATGCTGCTAGGCCCTATATGCTGCCCGTATAGTAACTTGTGATGATTTACCTCACGGGAGACAGGTTTCACATTATTGACCGACCCTTCGGAATTAGCTAGATTAAATACTACTGTGGCTGATAGCTGCAAGTAGCGGGTGGTTTATTACCTATGTACGAAGTAAACATTCGCAACTTAGGCAGGAATAGACTGAAGTGATGAGCTGCCAATTGTTGACATACGGACCGACACAGTGCTACGCTCGTTCCATTCCGCATATAGTGTACTTATCATAAGTCATATATTGCACGTGGATAGATCGTGGGGTTTCCTACTACTAGTTAGTGTCAGCTACATACTTCGTAGCTCCTCGAGTTAGATATATCTAAGTAGATTAGGTACATTTATAAGAACGACTAATAAATATATACTAGATTATTAATAGGAATGTAGACTCGATAGAAGCCATTTTCGAACAAGAGAGTTAAAGTAGCACATATGCTTTTCAAGACTGAAATTCTGAAGGATTGAGAGTATCCGAGAAAAGGAACACACTGTGACAGGGTATGCGAAAGGTACTCCTTTGCTCTGTTTATCGGCTAATAGTTACATGCATGCTCCATAAGCTTTTTCGAAGTACCTAGCTTCTCGAGTCCTTCTTTCATCAGTGAATATAGACTAGAAGTCCATAGATGATTTCAAATTTCAGAACAATGGAAATGGAAATTACATATTTTTTCGGTGGTGGTTGTGTTGCACAGCCCTCTTAAAAGCCTCCATATTCAGATGTACAATTGTGGCTTGGTTTCATTGCGGCAGGCGGGTCTAAGGCAGGGCTCAATGTTGTTTGTGGAGGGGGACCACTAGGAGCTGGGAGGGGACCAAAGCTTTAAGGTTGCCGTTGATTTTCACGGGTCCACCACCGGACCACGCTCTTACCGACCCTTCAAAAAAAAGAAAGCGAACAGCTGGAGAACGGCCCCCATAGGTACACTTCAATTCAGCCCAGCCCAGCCCACCCTCAGGTAACTCAAATATTCTTCCATCAAACATTCATTCACATTCCCTACATTGGCGCACAGAATGGTCATGGTCATTTTGACCAATTTTTGGCTTTGCAATCCCTTCCTAGTCATTACGACTTTTGCTTAGCCTATATCATTATAATTCTATTTCTTATCCGCTACGGGCTTTATCATCAACTCCGGCTTCTATTACGCCTTAATCCTACCTACGTAGTAAAGGTTTTACGACATCAACGGCTTGACGATTAAACTTTCCGACCCTTCAATCTGTTATCCTATAACCGGCTTGCCAGATTAATCCAGACGATTATCGAATTTTATTTAGTAAAAACATTCGTGCCGAATGCTTTCCACTTGCATCGTCTAGTGTCTCTTAAATTCCCCGAAGACCAACTTTGTCGTGAGCTTCTTCTGAAACTAGGACCTATGGGGGATGCGAATTGTCGAATTTCAAACACAATAGAGTTCTAGTTTACCGATGCCCATCCATGCGACAACATTCTATCAGTCCATTCGTTAATACCCAATATCTCCACCCTGCGGTCGGCGGTTGCGCAACGACCTAGTTGCCGTAACTCAATATGTCATTTCGAGACAACGACCAGCGCCGGTATGGCCATATCCCTCCTGTACAGTACCCCGTCGCAAATCAGTCTTCACAAGACCCGTTGAACTATCCGAACCGACGCTCAAGCTTCAACAACGGCGACGATTCTGGCGGGTTTACTTCTCCCGTAACTCGTCCAAGCTATCAGCCAACCTTGAATACGAATGTCGCAGGGCTCGCAGGCCGCGATGAGTTGTTCCTAGCCAGCCCGTCCGATCCCAGCAGGCCTAACTATGGCAATTCAAATGTCGCCATGGCGGGATACCAGCACCAGTACCAGCCTCAGTCACCACCTACGCCATCAACGTACAACCCGCAAGCCTTCGCTCGATCTCATTCTACCTCGCTACCGTACCTACCGCACCCATCACACAGATGGGCTCCACCAAATGCGACGCCCGCTCCATATAGTCCTACAAGCGCGACGCCTAATAACTTCACACCTGCTCCGTATAATCCCGCCGCATATTCTGGGGCGCCGGTACCTCAGCGCCAAGCGACCTATGCTGGATATACTAATAATAATAATAGCAACAACGGTCAATCTTATGCCTCGCCGCCGTTAAACCAATCGCCCTACTTCCAATCCCAACCTCTATATGCTGCTCCCACCCAACCGAGACACACTTCCACTCCACCAACCACTTACACTGCAAGCTACGGTCAAACGCCTTATAGCTCGGCATACCCACCTACTACAAACACAATAGCTTCGACTCTCACGACTGGCTACGATTCTTCGCAAGGACGTTACACTACGAGCTATCCAAACGACGGTACAAGCCCACAGGCTACGTTTTACTCATCCGACTCGTCCACATCTTCCCAGACGCCGTACCCAACCCATTCAGAGATACCTGTAGGACCGAACTACTCTGCCAACGATCCACATTCATTTTTGAATCGTACATCTAGGTCAAATTCAGCAGCATCGCCACTACCTTCGCCCCCTGTCCATTCGCAACTATCAACTGGTTTGGCGCGCCATCCGACTAACGCGCCATTGCCTAGCCGGCCGGTCGACGATGTCGCTGAAGAGCAGTATCCATCTAATGGCACTCATGCTCCTGATATAGCACAGGAATACGCCACGCAAAATAGCATCATGCAGGACATCGAAGCTGAGCTCGGGAGGAGGAATGGTTCAATCCACGGTCGTCCCACAGCTTTTGATCAGCGCAACGGCGCCTTGGCCGATGGCGATCTACAGAATCTCCGTCGGTTAACGTCCAACGCGAGCTATCATTCAACTGCCACCACGATCACGAACCAAGAAGAACCGTCCGGGGTAAACCGATACTCCTCCAATGCGTCGACGTTGAATAGGAATCACTCAACCAACCCATATGCCTATGAAGATTATGACGGAGATGAAAGCGATCCGGAGGGCGCAGCCGGGGCTTGGGCATTGCAACAGGCGGAAGAGGATGATCGTCGATTTAGTTCAGTAGGCGGGACGTTATCCTATTTCAATCCGCCGGAAGCATCCACGCAACCCACTCTCCCCACTCATAAAGAAGAGCCAAGCAGCGATAGTGACTATGCTGGAATGGATTTGGGGCTCATGGGCGGAGGTTATGCCGGGAACCTAACGTATGACAACAATCTCGGGTCGCCGCCTGCTTCCGAAACGACACCAGGGGATTTGCAAGCTTTGCCGACTCCCCGCAGCAACCATACATCCCAAAGGAGCCATGGGAGCAATAAATATCCGGTTTTTGAGCAGGCTGAGGTGGAGTATGAGGGTACTGGTGGCCTACAGAAACCCGCTGCTCATCGTTTGAGCTTCGATGAAGGAGAAGAGCGCGTTTCCCTCCACTCAAGGCAAAGCGGTAGTGAGTCTCCTATAAAAGAAGACTATCCAGACATGTTTTACCATCCTGGCCTATCGAATCGTCCTCTCCCGGCAATTCCTGCCAGCTCGGACAGCAGTTCAATGTTATCTATTCAGTCGCCTACTAAAGCTGGATATCAACACGGATACTCCCTTAGTGTAGACTCACCTCCATATTCTGGACCAGATGCTCTATATGGACAAAATGCGCAGCAGCTTCAAGTTGAGAGGTCTATCTCGTTATCTAGTCATAGTACCTCACCTCACGTCCAGCCACCGGGTCGGTCGAAGACTGATGCCACCGAGGAGCGTAACGCACGGTTGAGGCACGTGAGACAGCAACAACAGTTGGCGGCTCAACAAGGATTGCCGTATGAGGGTTATGAAACAGGGACAGCTTCATCGATAAATTACGACGTGATTACTCTGCCCAGCGGTCGGCGTCGAAATTTCCAACCAGAAAAATTTACAATAGTTGATGTCCGTTCTTGCACGGAGCCATGGGCTTTGAGTGGCATTGCTAAATGGGTTCGTGAGATGGCTGAGGGCGAACCCGACCTAAAGAGGAAGACGCTTGAAGACGGTCTTGTTAGACTATTCTGCCTGAAGGTCCCCACGATGAACGTCGCAGACGCCGAGACTCTAAGTACCCAAGTTACCGACTCGATGTTGGAAGCTGGTATCCTTGTCCCGGAAGAAGAGTGGCTCAAGTTCGGGCCTGGTTCTATATCCGGCGTGTTGTGGCAGTTAACCGGTTCAGGTTGTTACGCGCCAAAGCTTCACGAATACGACGATGATATAACGGGACATGAAGTACCAACACGGTGCTACTCATATCATTGTACCAGGACGCTTAAGAAGGCCAACCTAGATGATCTTATGTCGAATGGCGTTAAAACACTTGACTGGGCGACGTTTTATAATATGACGAAGGAGGGTACAGAAAGCAAGTCGAAGAAGGAGATCTCACGACAAAATGTTCTCCACGAAATCGTTACTTCAGAGGAAGTATACATGGACCGCCTTGATGTTCTCCGTGTTCTATACCGAGACCGGCTCCTCCAATTCCAGCCTAGGATTATTGCTGAAAGTAAGATTGAGAAATTCGTCAGCGATGTTTTTGGCAAGGCCGATGCGGTCCAGCAGGTCAACATGGATCATCTATTGGCACAATTGAAGTACCGACAAAAAGAGCAAGGTCCTTGGATAGTAGGCTTTAGCGACATCTTCAGAGAATGGGTTCGAAAAGCCAAAACTGCGTATGTCGATTATGCTTCCGCCTTTCCTTATGCACGGTATCGAGTGAAGAAAGAGGCGGAGAAAAACTTCCTATTCAAGCAGTTTCTCGAAGAGAACCGGGCGCACCCTCGGTCGCAGCGTCTTGATTGGACCAGCTACTTAAAAGATCCTATTACACGCCTGCAAAGATACTCCCTCCTCCTAGAGACGGCATTAAAGTATATGGTACAAGAGTGCGAGGAAAAGTCGAATCTTAAGAGGGCTATTGAAGAAGTTAAGTCCATGACCCTTGAATGCGACGCGAAAGTGGACGAGATGCAGAAGAAGGTGACGATGATCGAGTTAGACCAGATGCTGGTTCTTCGACCGGGTTTCCATGCCGATCTCCACTTAGATCATCTAGAACTTATCCTTCAGGGCGATCTTCAGAGGATGGGTTCGAAGGGTATGCGATGGGTTGACACGCACGCTTTGCTGTTCGACCATTACTTGATCCTCGCCAAATTAGTCATATCAAAAGATGGTAGGCAAGACAGGAAATACGATGTATCGAAAGAAGTGAGTATTTCTCCACTTAGAATAATTAGCATTCGTTAATGTTTTTAGCCCATCCCTATGCCTTTATTATTTCTCGAAAGCAGCCAAGACGACCCAGTCTCTAAGCAAAAAGGAATTACTGCTCCGTTGACCCGAGCAGCAAATTCAGCCTCTGATACCAAGCTTAATAAAGTAACGTCAAACGGCACCGAGCGGCCCGGCCTAGACCATACAGTCACGACTTCCTCCATCGGCCCTGGAACTGTTACCAGGCTAGGTCCCGGTGGCTCAGGGGATACTGAAGGAAAGATACTCTATCCTTTCCGTGTTAAACATCTAGGACACGAAGTATATACTCTATTCGCTCAGTCGGCTCAGACGCGGCAGGATTGGTGTGATAGGATTATTGAGGCCAAGACCCGTCATGCTAAGGCACTACACGCTCAAAACGCCGAACCATTCCGGTTGCGCGTGATGGCCGATAGTGCTTTTGCCTACGATCCAATCGCAGCCATCGGCAAATATGTTGGCGGTGTGCATATACGTGGAACTCCCCTTGATAGAGCCATCCGGGAGGTTGAAAAGACGTACGGATCCGGTCGCGGCCCTCCTCCAATTTCTCGAGCAGGAGTTAATTGCGCGACTGGTTTCTCTGCCTTCGGTAAGAATATGGTTGCGGTTGGCACGGACGCGGGCGTGTGTGTGTCGGAAGCTAGTGATCAACGGCATTGGAATAAGGTAAAATCTATATATGCGTGCGTCTTATACCATTTACTAACTATCTTCCTAGACGGTTACAGCCAACCGAGTCACACAAATCGCGGTCCTTGAGGAATTTTCTGTTGTTCTCGTGTTGTCCGATAGAAATCTTATTTCTTACCCTCTCGATGTGATATCACCTCCGTCCAATTTTCCCGTTCTAGCGAACGATAGCCACCGTCGGTCTCCACAAAGGCTTGCAAAAGATGTATCGTTCTTTGCTACAGCCCGTATGAAAGAACGGATGCTGGTGTTCTACAAGAAGAAGGAAAGTCTACATACCACCTTCAAAGTGCTTGAGCCGGTGTTCCAAAAGGCGACGGAAAAGAAATCGCGTTTCTTTGGTGGAAGCCGAAAGGCTGGCGTGGGCGTGACGGAGAGTTTCCGAGATTATGATGAGTTCTTTTTCCCTACGGAATGCTACTCGCTCAACATTTTCCACACGTACATTGCCGTCTCAACGGCTAGGGGTTTCGAGCTTTTAACTCTCGACAAGAAGATACCTATGTCGATTCCTGATGTCAAGCAACCCGCTATTGCCGACATTGCTTACCGCATTAAGGAACAACGACCTCTAGGCATGTTCCGCCTGAATGACCAGGAATTTCTCCTGGCATACGAGGACTGCGCTGTATACGTAGACAAGTATGGCGATGTTAGTCGTAGCGTTATCATGGAATATTCAGGAAAGCAAAAGAAAGCAAGGGGTGCCACAATGTACGGGCAATACTTGTTACTATTTAATGAGGATTATGTCGAGGTGCGCAATGCGGAGAATGGTCGGTTGCGCCAGATCATTGCCGGAAGGGACGTGAGGGTTCTGGACTATGGCGTTCGGGGTCCAACGGGGGGCTCATCTAACGCGAATGGGTCAAGCCCATTTCCTAACGACGATAACGGGCCCGAATCAAACGACACGGTCAAGATCTGCATGGCGCATCCAGAAGTTTCGGGTCAGCAGATCGTTCTAGAGATGTTACTCAACAGCGGGCATTGAGAGATATCATGAATCGCACGCTTTGGTTATGACCGGCACCGCATGGACAAACAGTTTAGGGTTCGGTTGGTATAGGGGGTTGCATATTTGTTTCTGTGGCACGGCTACCCGCATGTGAATGGGTTTTTTTTTATTTTTTTCAAATGGATATCCGGCCAAACCAATGGCCAAGTTTCCTTTTCTTTCCTTCTCCTAACTACTCGAAGACGGCCCAGACGATGAGCCATTATGATGATGGCTAGAGCGAGATATCGTTAGTAAAATCTCAAGAGCACGACGCTATGCAATCCACGGTTATTCAGCCGTTTTCGAGTCTTGTGTTACTCTATTTTTCTATTTATGAAAGAGGTGGACTCGAAGCTACCCTTGGTAATAGGGTAATCCGTAGACATTACTACTACCATTCTATGATATACCCCCTTTGATGGCATATTTATATTGCAATGTATTTGCGTATTTCTCAGTCATCAAATTTAATTTGTGCCCGTTCAGGTGATGTAGATAGCTGAAAGTCCACGTGTATAGAGGTGCCTGTCAAGTAAGATTGTATTGATAGACAATTTCCTAGCCTACCGTCGATGATGTATTCGACTTTCGCGGATAAAATTATTCTTCTAATTCTCTCTCGCTCGAGCAACTTGTCTAAAGCGTCCGCTACAGGGTAGGAATCCTCATTAACTGAAAATAATCAACACAGCGTATAATACTTATTTAATGAATGACGACGAATAAGGGGTTGCCCACAAATCCATAACCAGACGCTTCGACTGTCCCTTTATCCTCGAACCTCTCCAGTTGTCAACTAAATCTTAAAGGAGCGTACACGGATTGAAATAGAAGTACAAACCAGCCTAGATAGCCAGATAGTTATATCCCTCACCCGACAATTGACAATTTATTTACTTACCCCCAACATCAACCCACCCCCTCTCTGCTCCCTCAGCAGTAATAGCCACACCATCCCACCGCACCCGCATCGTCGTCGGCACAGGGGAATACGCGCTCTGATCGGGCGTCATATACACCCTCAGTCCAGTCCACTCGTCGCCGCCGCCACGCACAGCCTTCCGCCCAACTTGGCCCCGCCACTCCTTGAACTCGAGACTCTTGCACTCGCCCCGCGGACCGGGAGCACGCCGTAAACCCGGTAATTGCAACAATACCTTAAACGCGGCCGCGAGAGCGACCCGCGTCAGTCCCTCGCCTAGGCATTTATGCGGGCCGGCGCCCCAGGGCAGGTACGAAGATACCGGGCGGTCGAGACGCAGGGACTCGGGGTCGGGGAAGGCGGCGGCGTCGTGGGAGGCGGTTACTAGGTCGATTATGGCGCGTTGGGTTGGAAGGAGGGTGTATGTGCGGGTGGAGGAGGGGCGTGAGGAAGGGGGGTTCGGGATGGGGGATGGGCTGGTTGGGGAGGATGGGTTGGGTAGGCAGGGGATGTCGTCGGTGATGGTTTGGGCGCGGCTGGTGGATGGGACGAAGCGCGCTACTACGACGGTGCCGCGGAGGCGGATGCCTTCTAGGAGGCTGGGTTTAGTTTAGTATTTGGGGAACGAAGCTTTTTTTTTTATATCTATGTGTCGAGATAGGGGGAGGAACTTACTAATGCATCAACTTATCGTCAGCTTCAGTTGTGTCTTCGTGAGCTAGGCGATACAGTTCGGGCAGATGTTCGCTCCCTGCTCCTAGGAAGTAATCTAGACACTGCGAGAGCAGGCCTGACATGATTGTGGCTCCGGCAGCGCTATTAGATCTAGGGTTAGTATAATATACCGTCCACGAACTTCCGTTGTGATATTCAATGGAGTTCCAGACAAGAGCAGCTCACCTAATAGGCATAACAGTCCCCGCAATACACTCCTCAACCGTCTTCCCCTTCTCCATCATACGGGAAAGCAACTGTCGCCCATAATGCGGGAGCCCAGGCCAGTCATCCTTACCCCCGGCATTCGACTTATCTTTCCCAGCAGATATAAAACCCAATCGTGCCGCCATTCCGGCTACCCAACCAGTCTTCGCATCGGCTTCGGCCTCCAGCCGTACAAGTTGTTCTAGCCCCAGAGCAAGTTCGCGTGACAGAGTCCGCAGTTTGAAGGAATTAGCTGGGTCGCTGTCGAAAAATACGGCGGAGAACATGGCTGACAGTAGCCCGTATAGCTCGTGCTCTGTGTAGATGCCGTGGGGCGAGGTCTCCGCCGTTTTAATCGGTAGTCCGAAGAACTCCGCGACGAAGCGCGTGTTAAGCGGGATAATGATGTCTCGGACAATGTCAACTTCGAAGTTTTTGGCCGACGCCGATGTGGTGGGATTGTGTGGTAACGCCCGGCCGGCTTTCTTCAGCAGATTCTTGGTAGTCTGATTAAAGAAATGCTTGATCTCCGCTTCCCACTCCCTGGGCTGGTAGAGACATCTGGCGACATGGTCCCTATTATGCTGGTTGGCTGTGCCGTCGCCCGCTAGACAAAAGTCTTTTGCGAAGGTCTTCCCAGGGGGGCTGACGAGGTGGGATATACCTTCACCCCAGGGAACGTAGAAGTCCTTGTTATTACCCAACACTTGGCTAACGGCTTTGTGGGATTTGATAACCACTGGATCTAGTTGCCGCGTGGGCTTTTCCCACTGTGGTGATAAAAGTTAGTATTAGTTACATTAGAAAGGGGTATGACCGAAGAACCCCTATTCTCGATGGATGGGAAAGGAGGTCTAAGGGGGAAATCATCTTACCGAATATAATTCAGATGTGCCAAGAGCTTCGTGTATGACCTTATTCTCCTTCGGTACAACGAATGGGAAATGCGCATGGATGCTGTTGCGCGCGAAGTGGAATGGGAACGCGCGGAATACCAACTTGTGCATCACTTGTCCCTGGTCTACTTTGAGGTCGAAATTGGCCTCATTATAACTAAAAGGCTCTCAGTTTCACGTCTCACTAAGGGGAATTAAAGTGGGATGTTGTGAGATAATATCATACATACCCCCAGTTCGTCAAGTTCGCAGGAGTGTAGTCAGTAGTATAGAAGCGATCTCCGCGAACGAGCGCCACGGCATCGGAAAGGATGGCGCGGCTCGTCGTGACGTTGACGCAGAGTCCGCTGCCAGACATGGGCGGCTTAGGCTTCTCAGCTACGACTGTGACCAGTGAGTGCTTATTCATTCAAATAGAAGGGTTAAGGATCTACGAATGTCCTATAATAGGGGCAAGGGGTTTTCTCAATGCACGTACGCCCTGGATATAGCTCAACTGCGTCAGGCGAGTCGTAAAGCGACGTTAACTTCCCCGCGACCGCAGGGTCTGAGTTGATATCTTCGAACGTGTCATGCTTCTTCAAGCCAAAATGCTGCCGGAACTCATTCAGCGTGGCTACATGCCATTCTCGTGCTTGCGTAATTCCGAGGATTTCGATAACTCGCAATGCGCTTGGGACTTGGTTCGCTCCGAACGCGCCGGCGACATCCTCGATAGAAGTGGTTAGGATATCGACGAGATTGTCATCAGAGTAAGTCCCATCATCACCTCGGTATAGACCGGCGAAATCTCGCTCATCCGGGTTGTTGGGGATGCTGCGCCGGGATCTTGCTAAGGCTTGCAATACTTCGTCAACGCTCGCTTTGGCAGGATCCGCGCCGTCGAGTATTTTACGGAAGTCATCATTTACCCATTTCTCGTCACGCGTCGACAGGGCGCTGTGCCATCTATAAATGAGATTGAACTCGATGGAAACTTGGTTACCTGTAGCCTCTGGGGCTGGTGAACTGTTGAATATGTTCTTCTTCTCTTGCGTCCGTGGGTCTAGGCCCCATGTAGTGCCAGAGCGGTTTACATTCAGTATCGTTCGGACGTAATCCTTAAGGATGATGTTGACATAGAGCCCGCAGGTAATGAGTCGTCCTGTCTGGAATAGGTCGTTATCGTATTTCTCCCACGCCTCCCAATTACCACCTTCGCTAGTAGCGGCCGGCTTGGTGAAGCGGCCGTTCTCATTAATCCTTATAGATATTAGCGTTTCTTGATTATTATATAAAATTCAAGGTACCGCTGATAATTGGAGTCTTACCCTGCCAGCTGAGTTACGACATAGTTGTGAAACCGATTGAACATCTGCGAATAGTCATTAGTATTAACTTTCCAAAGCGAAGTTAAGAGCCGCGAGAGAGTTTATAGTTCTAAAATCGACTATTGGGTATATTGTTGACCCTCGAAGACAATCTCTTAAGATGAATAGGTGTACACTTTCTAGGAATGGCTGGTAGAGGATAAGAAATTCAGGAGCACTAACGATCAAAAACACTCCTACTCCTGGAGGAAATCCAAGAAGATTCCTTGACGAAAAACAGTCTGGTTTGAGTAATCCATCTTTGAAAGTTCGCATGGCCTTTTGCTCTTCGTCATTACGACCATACAAAGGCGAAAGATCGAGATACGACGAGGTCAAGTTAACGTTTGCGTCTCGTGAGTCCTTTACTTGACAATTAGATATCGATTAAGAGTAAGGGGGACAATACATGTTTAAATAACTTACTGTCTGGAAGACATCGTGAGTGATGATTGTTGCAAGGTAGAATAGCACGCTAGATATCTTGTTTGGATGCTCGCGGAATGATGCTTCATCCCTGACCATGATACTATCGTAAATAAGACCCGGGTCTGGTAAGTTAGGCCCCTGGAATACCTTAGCAGGGGTCGTCCGTGTATAGCGGGTGTTGGCGGCTCCCATAGCAGGAGCTTCGAGGTTGTTATAGGAGCCGTTTGCTGTACGGTAGCAAGCATCTCGAGCTGAAATCTGAGCAGGAGGGTGCTCAAGCGAGTTCCAGAGTGTGTTGACGAAAGCATCGGTAGCTTGTTTACCTTCCCTGGAATTAGGAGGTAGTTTAGCCAGCAATGTTACGATACGCTCCTGCAAAAGCTCGTTGTCATCCTCTTCGCCAGAAACCGTGGCATCTAAAACATCTTTCAACGTCTTGTAGTCTTCAACACTCAAGTGTTGCAAGTCCTGAAGAAGGCCAGTCTCCTTGGATGTATCATCATTCCCCGGAGTGAACTGATATTTGGGAAGAGGCCCAAGGGCTCTGGTAATAACTTGGATAGCTTGGGCAAATGGAGAAGACATGACTCGAGTATCAGAAGAGGCTAGATTGGAGGGTACTGGTACCGCGGAGGGGGATATGAACTCCCTTGTCCACTTATACAGGGAGAATCTACGAGGTGCCCGTTGGGGGTCTGCATTTCTCGGCCGATTCAGCTCCATCCTGATAGGCCTTGTTGATGCAACTATATATAACATGAAGTCGCCATTATCATGTGGAAGGCTGATAAGTTACATTACACGTGGTAGACCAGTGGACACAGTGAAATACGGGAACAGGTAGTAAAGAATCTAAACCTAGCACAGTGTACACAAAATAGGTAGAAGAAATGCAACATAACTATCAACCGGATTCAGATGATCAGAGCAAACGAGGCTAGTGTAACACACGATGAGTTGATGATAGGCCTGTAATAAGAGACACAAATGCGACTTTGCCTATAAATACCAACACCACCAACATTAAGTAAGCAATACGACACCAGCCTACTTAACAAGTATCTCTTTTTCACCCCGAGACATATTCGCTGAATTGGCCCTCATACACCATCGGATACGGCAGTATAGAGACTCCATGTCATTATTTTCGGGACCGAAGGTATTTATAGTTAGGTAGGTTCGCACCAAAAGGCTTTATATTACATTACAATACGGCTAAGGATGATTTTGAGCTGCAGATCTAACCATCACCTCACTATTCAACATGAGGCAGCTCGACGACTAAGGTGTTGGTACAAAAGCATATCGATCATATGGTTTGAAGCTGCAAGCCACTAATCCTCCAACTTATCATATCAAGTATCAACGCCTTCAGGTCATCGTAAGTGGCTTCCTGCAGTCTCCTTGGCGCATGATCGTTCTAAATGATATATGAGAGAATTACTGAGCATAGACCATACCCAAACCAGACTGTTTCCTCGAAACGCCAGGATAGCGTCATCGGTATCATGCAGCCACCCGTCAAAGTCATGTCCAGTAGGTATATCTATCCCCTTTGATACCTAATGTACCTGGGTAGGATGTAACTAAGTATTTCCTAGAGTTGTGTTTAGATTTAAATGTTTTGAAGGGGCCTATCGAATAACTATATGTACCTATTAAGATGCATTTTTCTAAGTGACAACTGTTCCACATTTATGTTACTATGAGATTCAACATCATGGTGCCTGGTGTCCTTTTTTGGCTCCTCCTTTCCTCACGTAAGAGACTAATAAGTGTGAAGACGGTCCGGACCGACGCTTAGCCCTATACCCCTTTACTTACGCGCAAGGTAATTGAGGACTGCGTGCGTAAGCGGATATTTCATTCGACCTCGACTTCTGCGCGAAAACAAGGTGGTGTTGTAAAAGCCGCTAGTTTGATGCAAGGTCATATCAACTGAAGGCTTTGATCGGACTTCGCGTATAGCATTACAATTCTCTAAGTAGGTTTCACAAAGTCGAATTGACTTGCAAAATATATCTGTTTAAGGCACGGAAGTCACTTTATACCTCGCAAGGTATTTGAAATAACTAAAATGTAACTTAGTTCGAGAAAATAGTTTTAATATTTAAAGTAATTATTATTTCGTAGTTTATTTAGTAAGGTTTAGTTAAGTCGAATTATAACTTTTATTTTAAATAACTGCATTTTATGGGATTTTTTATAAAACGGCATATAGGTAAACACGTAACTGGCATGTTAGCATTTTTTAAAAATCGTAAGTTTTGTTTATTTATTAATCATAAATGAAATTTGGCACCGAAAAATTAAAACGTTTTTATTAAAGATTTTAATTTTAAAATAAAATAAGTTATTAAAATTTATACTTGTTAATTGATGTTATATACGGAGTAAGTGTTTAAAATAAATAAATTAAATAATAATAATATTAATTTTATAACGTTTAACTTTTTATTTTTTTACAAAAACATTTTGCGCTTTTTATATAGTAAATAAACTTTTGTTAATTATTTTTAACTTATAATATTTTAATAAAGTTATTTTTTTTTTTATAGTCCCGTTTTCGGGACTAGTTAAAAAACGTGTAAAAAAGTGTAAAAAAAAGTGTAAAAAAAATTATCGTGAATTTCGTCGTTGTTTTTAACCCCGTTATTGTTGTTATTTTGTTATAATTTTTGTTTACCATTAATTTTATTGTTAACTTTATTGTTATTATTATTTTGTTATAACTTTTATTTGTTATTAACTTTATTATTAATTTTGTTGTTATTATTACTTTATTATAGTTTTTATTTATTATTAATTTTGTTATTAATTTTGTTATTTGTTATTAACTTTATTACTCGTTATTAACTTCGTTACTCGTTATTAACCTCGTTATTAACTTTGTTATTATTAACTTCGTTATTAACTTTATTTCGTTTAATTATATTGTTAATCCGTTATAAAGTTATCGGCGGCCGTTTCGGGGGTTTTTTAATTATTTTCGAACTTTGTTAAAAACTTTAATAATATATTTTTTTAAATCTTGTTTTTTCCTTATAACGACCGTATTAAAATATTTTTTAGTTATTTTTAAACTTTGTTAAAAATTTTGGTAATATACCTTTTTAAACCCCGTAGCGATTAATTTTTTACTATTATATTAAAACATTTTTTGGTTATTTTTAAACTTTGTTAAAAACTTTAATAATATACTTTTTTAAGTTAATTATATTTAATCGGTAATAAAGTATACACTTTTATAACTATTTTACCGTTAACCCGTTATAAAGTTATTTACTATTATATTAAAGTATTTTTTAATTATTTTCGACCACGTTAAAAACTTTAATAATATACTTTTTTAAGTTTCGATTTTTTTTACGGTAATTATATAACTTTTTAAAGTTATTAAAAAAATCTTATAACTTTTTAAACGTAATTAAAATAATTAATAAAGTTTTAAAACGTAATTAAAATAATTAATAATTTGTACGGGTTTAAGTTTTATCTCGGTTATATTAAAAGTTTCGTTAATAACGTTATTATAATTATTGTTTTATTTTAACTTTTATTTATTTAATTTTATTTCGGTTATAAAGTTTTATTTTAATTGTAAAACTTTATTTTAATTATAAAGTTTTATTTTAATTATAAAGTTTTATTTTAATCGTAAAACTTTATTTTAATCGTATTAAATTTCGTCGTTATAATTATTACTTTACTTTAAACCTTATTTGTTTAACCTTGTATTAATCGTAAAGTTTTACTTTTAATTTTAATTTTTATTATAAAGCTTTATTTGTAATAACTGTTACTTCGTTTTATAAATCTTTTAATAAAGTTTTTACTAATAATATAAATAATTTTATTATTATAAATCGGTAATACTTAACTTTAAAACCTTTTAAAAAGTCGTTAATCTTTTTTTTTATAACGTTATTATTGTTTTTTTTTCTTTTTTTTATCGTAACTTTTTCGTCGTAATTAACCTTTTACGCCGTAACAGTAATCTTTTTTTCTTTCGTTTTATAATACTTCCTTTTAAATCGTAGTTATTTTCGCGCGCCGTTAAAATATTTTTTATTTTTTTATTTTACAATACTTTATAATTTACTTTTTTAACAAACGGTTTATATAATTAAATAATAAACGTTACATTATTAAAATTTATACCTGTTAATTAATATTATACACGGAATAAATATTTAAAATAAGTAAACCAAATAATAATAATATTAATTTTATAACGTTTAACTTTTTATCTTTTTATAAAAGCGTTTCGCGCTTTTTATATAGTAAATAAACCTTTGTTAATTACCTTTAACCCATAATACCTTAACATGAGCTAAGCTGTCAAGAAACCACTTTAATAAATAACTCGGAAAATACCTAATAATAGGTTAATATTATTACCTAAGTACTTAGCCATACTTGTAGCTGACAATATGCGTATGTAGTTGATTTAGTTCATTGAGTTCCCTTCTTAAGAACCTCGTGTAATTTTATTACTTTGCGGTGTTTTCAAGTATGTCGGACAAGGTAGCAACAATACGGACTCGGACTCGTATTTAAATGGAACAATAATCTACCTGGCGACATTAAGATATTTAACTATACTTTTAGCGGCTTATATCCTTTATGATTTCGGCAGCGTAATCAGCATAAAACTACTAAAAGGGGCTCAAGCTAAATATAAAAACTTTACAAGATACACTATCAAGTATTACCAATATCCATGTACAACCTGGCTGCAATCCAAGGCAAGCCTAATAAGAACGCGCCTAATAAGAACAAACCTCACACCCCACTTGGACAAATTATTACCACCGATACCAGAGGAACTTAATTCTTACAATACTCATTTATACTCTCTCCTTTCGTGAACTATGACGTGTTATAACATTGCCGAGTTATATAAATGATCGTATACCTAGGTACTCACGTGACAATGGCGACATACTGGGTGAGTATTACGAATACTATAGTTAAGCGTTGGTAATCGGTTCATGCGGATCCCAATGCCCCTCCTAAAGGCGATTACGTATCCGGTTCAATTGAAGATGAAGCTTAGTTGTTACAATATTTATTGTAGAAGATATGAGTAAGGAACATAGAATCAAGTCCGTAGCTGTTGTTGGCGCGGGTGCGGGAGGTATGTATAACTGTCATCTTGAAGACTCTTATATATGCATACCGGTATCTGACATAAACTCATATATATAATAGGGGCTATCGCGGCGGCAGCATTAAAAGCTGAAAACTATTTTGAACGGATTCGGGTATTTGAGAGGCGAGAGACGCCCGGGGGAACATGGTACTCATATCCTTTATATACATCACCCAGTAAGCATGTTTTGCTTACAACCTGCAGGATTTACGACTCGGACCCGACGCCCGCATTAGAGGTGCAGCCGGGAAAGTTACCTCCCGATGTCGATCCGCCGCTGGAAATCCCGAAGGAGCTCCCTCGGAACACACCACCTAACCAGCAAGAGAGGTTTTCCAAGACGCCTATCTACGATTCTTTAACGTGGGGACTCGACTCAAGTCTATATTTGAATATACGAGTCAACATGTTAACACCGGATTAGAACTAATGTGCCCGATATTGCCATGTGCTTCTCCGATAGGAGGTTCGCCTACGGGCCCTTCCCACCGCATCATGTTCCCAAGCAGTACATCGAGAGTTATTTCTCGCTCCACAAAACAGACTCGCTGCTGAGTCTGAGTACTACTGTCGAGGACATCACCAAACTGAAGCCCGATTCAGAAGACGGCCCCGAAAGGTGGAAATTGACCCTCCGGAAGTACGACCCGTCTCGTCACGTTGACTTCTGGTGGGAAGAGACATTTGACGCTGTGATCCTAGCAAACGGGCACTACTCTGTACCCTACGTATGTTATAGACTCACTTATAAGCCAACCCTCCTCCCCCCCCCCAGCACTATCTACTCTAACACACACAGATCCCCTACGTCAAAGGCCTCCAAGAATACGCCCAAAAATTCCCCGGCCGCGTCTCGCACTCAAAGTACTACCGGTCACCCTTCCAATTCATCGGGCAACGCGTCGTCATCATCGGCAACTCCGCATCAGGCCACGACCTAACCACCGAACTAGTCTCCACAGCACAGCACCCCGTCTTCCAATCGCGGCGCTCCAAGTCCCGCTGGGACGGACCCGAGCCGCCTCCGGGCATCGCATGGAAACCCGTGATTTCAGAGTACAGCGCCGAGGACGGCAGCATCCTATTCTCGGACGGAACGCGGCTGACAGACGTCGACGCCGTGATCTACGCCACCGGATACAACGCGTCCTTCCCGTTCTGGAACGCCGCGGCAAACAGCAGCGGAGGCGAGCCGCTATGGGATTACACCAGCGGCAAGCTCGTCGGGAACTACTGGCACACGTTCTTCCGCGCGCATCCCACGCTCGGAATCGTCGGCGTGCCCCGCGTCCTAACCTTCCGCAGCTTCGAGTACCAAGCCATCGCTCTCGCGCGGCTATTCGCCGGGCGCAACGCGGTCCCGTTACCCCCGGCGGCCGAGCAAGAGCGCTGGGAGCGGGAACGACTGGAAAACACGCGGCGGGAGGGTAGGAAGTTCCACGATATCAATTGGGAGCGGGGGGAAACGGCGGAGTGGTTGGAGGGATTGTTCCGTATCGCGGGGCTGGGTACGCTGGGGGGAGATGGGAGAGTACCGCCGCCGTTGACTAGGGAAGTTGTCTGGGCGATTGAGCATTTGAGGAAATATCCGGAGCCGGGGAAGGGGAAGGATGAGGATGGAGATAGAGAGGGAAAAGAGAATGCTGCGGTTATAGATGTTAGGAATGATCAGACGAGTATCCAGGACGATGGATGGGTATTGGTTGATAGGCGACATAAAGATTTATTAGGATTCTTATAATCGAGTCATCGAGATTAAGCAACAAATTGCATACAAGTACATAGCTCGCTGAGATTCCGAGGTCATATATCTCTGCATAATTCTTCTTCAAGATTGAAATCATGATAGTGAAGTCAATTTAGAATATAAATCGAACACGACGCTTGAACACAAACCCTATACTCTGTGTCCAATTTTATGCGTTCATCTTGCGATGTTATTCTTAAATACCTAAGTAAGATAACGCTGCCAGATACGTCATTTATAATGTAGGCCATAGGCTGAAATTTCAAAACAATAGTCCCGTGAAGAAATGTCCTCATGTACGCTTGACCAACCCTAATAACGCCATCCTGCTATCCCAATAAAATACCTAACCTAACCTATTGCCAAAGATAATCAAGCTCAAGTGAGATTACGCACGTGCGTATCAAATACGTCGTTCCGCCAGCCGCCCGCCTCAAACTGCTCAATGCGATCGCCAGCTCGAGATGCCTCTTCATTCCATATCTTAACGACGCTACCCGGGGTATAGACCCCCTTAAAGACACCACGGCCCGGCTGTTCTACACCCACTCTCGTGTACAGATCGGGGTCTTCCTCAGGCACCAACCTAGCTGCAACGGCCCTGATGAAAGTCCACAGATCCTTCGGATCGGCGATCCGTGTCGCGCGCAAACGCTCCCGAGCAAACAACAGCTCGCGGTTCGCAGCATGCAGCGAATCGCTAATGGCAGAAGCGAGCTGGGCTTCCATTGTCGCCTTGAGGATGGGACGAAGCACTGGCTTAATGAGCCAGCTTAGCCAGGAGAACTTGCTCTTCCGGAGCTTGTAGTTTAACTTGTGTACTTTTACCCGCACCCTGCGTAGTGTTACGATCTGTTCCAAGCGCTCGCGGCATATCTCGACTTCGAGGTGGATGTCAATGCCGCGCTCATCTAGCGCGAAGCTTGCGATGCCCTCATCGGCTAGACGGAATAACCCGCTATGGACGCGCAACCAGAAGCCGACCTCATCCGCACGTGCTGAAAGGCCGTCGATCTTGATGAGCACGAGATTCTTCATGCTAGCATTTGTCCGGAAGCGGGTTTTACGGATCTCAACGTCATTATAATTCTCGATCTTTAGTCTGAACGGAAGGAATGATGTTTCGTTCACGGTATTACCGGGTTCGATAATGAGGTTTTCTAGTAGAAGGTCGATTGTTGGTGTGCTGACTTCGAGACGTGGGATTGGTATATACTGAACGGTACTGATAAGACGTGGAATGAATACATTCAGCGCGTCATGGATCAACTCAGTGTTCGTCGTCGAGTTGGTAGGAGAAAGGACACCAAAGATACGGAGCGTGGTTGTTGTCAGATTATGGATATCTTCGTCCTTTGCCACACTTTTGAACGTAACAGATAGCTGCTGTAGGAGATCATCGACATCCTGTTTCAAGCTACTCTCCGATCCGACATTCTTGCTCTTTTCTCTTAGCTCCCGGAGCTTTTCATCCGCATTGGAGAAGAATTCCGGGTCCATAAGGAGCTTCTGCAAGCTGTCACCGAGGTCCTGTAGTAAATTCTCAAACTCGGGATCGCTGTCCTTATGGCTCATAACCTTCTTCAGAAGCTCTTCAGACTTCTCCCATTCATTCTTGTCACCGAAGCTCTTAACAAACTCCCAAAGATTGGTGAGAGCACGATCTGTCTCCCGGTTTTCCTGAACATCATCCTGGGTGATTTCCATTAGCTCCTCAGCGGCTCGCGAATAGACTATGGCGTAGCGTTTTATGAGCAGTGAGAGTGTCGATACGGAGTCCGAATAGTCCTTGCGCTTGCGAAGGTTAAGGACTACTTGCTGCAACCGCTTTAAAAGCGCCTGGCCCTCATCGCCAGAAAGCTTATCTTTAGCACTTTCGACCGTAGCGCTTGCGACCTCGGCACCGTGGCTCGCAACAACCTTGCCGACATCTTCGAATTCATCCTCTAAACCTTGGGCTGTCGGTGGCTGGCCATCACTAGTAGTTCCTGACTCGGCTATACTTCGCTGTTCTTCATGTGATGGCTCCAACTGCTCGCCTACTTCTTTGGCAGCACTACTCAAGGCAAAGGCCGAATCTCTGAAAACCTCGCGAACGACTATGTTGAGATCACTAAGGAATGTTCTAAAATCGGGGTTTGTGAGCAGTAGCGAGCCGACGGTGCGCACACTTTGGTACGCAGCAGCAATATCGGCCTTGGCCTTGGTTTTCTTGGCCCTTGCGCTGAGATCGTCCACATCGACTGATATTCGGCTTTTTGTTAAGAACCAGATAAGGTCTTGAAGTTGATCCTTGCCGTTTTTATGCTGTAGTAGGGTAATGAATTGCTGTAGCCATAGCTTGGTGAGACGTATCAAACGGCGACCACTATCGGACAGGTCTGGGTTTTCGGGATTCAATACGTCGCTTGCTAGAAGAGTACGTAAGTTGATAATGATTTGTTCGGTGGTTGGCATGTATCCTTTGGCCAGAGCCCTTAGCATCTGGTAGCTTTGGAGCTTCCGATACAGCTCCCGCTGTAGGTGAGTGTCCTGCTCATATTGAGGAAGCAGTGGTTCTCGCTCGGGGTCAGTGCTCTTCTTTCGTAAACCAAAGCAAGAGGACAACATTATCGCTAGCTGACCTTGAGCAAATTGAGCATGCTCCTATGGATGATTTTCTTTCTTCTCCTGCTTGTTCCTGGTGGGAATGATAATGAGTTGTAATACATTGGTAGTAGATGTAGCTCTCGAAACATTTAGTCTTGATGCAATTAGTATTGACGAATGAATGACGTCTACGTGGAGAAGAACGGCGAGTTTAAGCTGCCAGCTCAGGGATTAGAATTAGGTACTTGTAAACTTGTAATACTTGTAAGAAGTTAAACCGGACTTTCCCCGACTATAATGCACGCCAAGACCGAGTATCTCTTTTTTAGGTAATATGTACGTACATTGTCGACGCTAGCTCGAAGCTTATTGTGGTCCTCTTCCCTTCAATATTATGGAATCTTTATTTTCTCTTGTTTACAACTCCTTGCTTAGAGCTTAGAGTAACTCACTTCGTCGCCTCGGGCTATTTCGGGCCGCTTTACTACGTTGAAACAGACATGTCAAAATCAACGCTTCCTGCCCAATATAGGAATGGTTTACGAGATGGCTGGATGGTTCCAGGACTATCGTCCCGGTTGTCTGACCACCCCTGACCTTGTTAGAGATTCCAGATCAGACCGTGTGTAACGCAGAACATCGTGGCAGTGCACTACGATTCCGCCAATCAACCTAATGCCTTTCATCCACGACTTCATATAACAGGATCAACATATATACATATCAAAGTCTGCCAAATGAGGTTTCCAGTGCGGCTGAGATGCCCAGCCTACAACGACACGTAAGCCAACGAGCCCGTAGTATCGACGGGGATATCTTCAGGGAAGCGAGATGGTAGTACGCAATCCTGGTGGTAGCCCAGGTTCTGACTCTACATACAGACACATATTCTGCATGTCCAAGGGGCTATCTGCATCGACTTGCCCCGAATCAGATCACGATGTTGTTTGTCTCGCTGTATCTATACAGAAGTTGTAACTACGCGCTCACAGGTCCGCGGGGCCCGCTCGGCCGCCAACGCGTGCAATTATACTCATCAACTTAGAAATGTATACGCCGTTATAACGCATGTCGTTAATAGTATGTTCCGGATACAGCATACCTATAGGTATCGGCGACTTTCTATTTTAGTGATTATCATAGGAACAATATGCCCCCAAAACTCTAGAAGAATATCTCGACATTTGTAATAACTAGACAAAAAGAGCTACTTAGAAGACACTATCCACTCTGACGATAGGCTCGATAACGAGGAACTATCTCGACTAGGCAATTCGCCGACCCACAGCCTTACCTCGCATTACCTCGCATTCGCTTCTATGGCTACCCGCGACTATGACAGGTAGAGTCTAGACATGCCTCTAATAAACCAGTCCGGCCCTTTTTTTCAGGCTGAGCCGCATAGGAAGTAGGTATCTAGACTGATATAATCATTCGCGAAGCCCACACCCCGGAGTCCGCGGTCTTGCCGATCCCGTCTTGTAGTCTTTAACTAGCACGCTTCCCTTCCGCTGGGGGAACTGTTTTTCACTCTTTACCATATCTGACTTGCTTTCGTTGTAGAGCTCTTTATATTTGTTTGTTTTAGAGTGGTTACCTTGCTTACCCTTGAATCTTGATCGACTTGAATCTAATATCCCTATCCGCAATGAGTGACCAAGCCGGGTCTGGCGCCAACGCCGGCAACGACCTCGCCAACGTCGCGATTTCCTTCAAGGACTGCACGCCAGAGATATGTCCTTACGATCTGTCTTTCTATGCGTACCGTATCGACTTAGCACCCAACGCAGTTTTCCTAGCACTGTTCGCCCTCTCCCTCGTCGGCTTCCTCGCCGTTTTCGCCTTCACGCGGCGTGGCCGTAACTTTACTATTGCTATGGCCCTCGGTCTCATCTGCGAGATCATAGGATACGCCGGCCGGATCATGAGCTGGCAGAACCAGTGGTCTGAAAATGGGTTCATGATTCAGATCTGCGTATGTGATATCCAACAATCTCCTTTTCTCTCTCTTTGCTGGTCTTGTATCAGGAGGGACCCCCTGATCGAGTTGACTAGGGAACCATTACTACCTAAATCACTAGGCTTTCGTAAGGAGGCGATTACTGACTCGTGTTGTTTAAGTGTCTAACCATAGCCCCGGCCTTCCTCGCCGCCGGCATCTACCTGTGTATCCGGAAGATTGTGTTCGCCTTTGGGCCCGAGAACTCGCGGATCCCACCTAAATACTATACTCGCATCGTACGTCTCACATACCCTTTCTTATTTACCCCCAAGAAAGAGAAAAAAGGGATAAACCTGTATAAACTCGAAGTCCACTAACCTTAACTTATAGTTCATCCCCTGCGACATCGTCTCCCTAATCCTCCAAGCCGCTGGCGGTGGTCTCGCCTCCTCCGCCTTCCACACGGGAGAATCCACAGATACCGGCGACAACATCATGATCGCCGGTCTCGCCTTCCAAGTCTTCACGCTCTTAGTATTCATGCTTCTATCCATCGACTTCCTAATCAATACTTTGCGCCGGCGCCGAACCCTCGGTTCCGCAGCACTAGACCAGGACCCAGCGCTAATCGCGATGCGCAACTCCTGGATGTTTAAGGCCTTCCCGCCCGCGCTAGCGCTAAGCACCATCTGCATCTTCTGGCGTAGTGTGTTCCGCGTTGCGGAGCTGAGTAGCGGGTGGACGGGATCATTGATGGGCCGTCAGGACCTATTCATCGGCTTCGAGGGTGTGATGATCACTGTCGCTGTCTTAGTCCTGAATGTCTTCCATCCAAGCCTGTGCTTCGGCGAGATTATGGATCGGAAGTTTGAGGCTGGCGATGATGGTACCCGTAAAGAGATCCGCCAGAGCGAGTTTGAGATGCTACCCGAAACCAAGCCTAGTACTGCGACTAGTGTTACTGATGCTCGTGGTAGTAGTCTGAATACGAATGATGTTGAGCGTGGGGCTTGAGTACGACTAAATTACGTTGACGTTTAAGAATTGCGGCGTTCTAGGTACAGGAGCCAGTTGGATATACCTTTTCTTTGATCATCTGCGAGGCCTTTTGGATTCCGCTCTTTGATATATCTAGAATCTAGATTCGACAATGCCTTGGGTTGATTTTTATTATTTATGGAGGGTGATATGGACTTGCTATAGATTATCTTATAAGATAGGAGGACGAAATGCAAAGATCATAGATTACTTCAGGGCTTGTAGAAGAGTAAGACAGCGGTAGAACAGTCTCAAACTCTTTAATCAAGATACTAAAGCTTTCGAGTCGAGAAAAATGATGTATGCATTACTGAGCTATTCAGCTATTTTCCTAGCATAAGCTGCAGATACTTCCTAAACATAGTTCCGCGAGTATTCGTGGCTGTCCTTTGTAAGAGGGGACTGCATCTAGATAAAAATAGTAAATGCAAGTGCTGTGTCTTGCTCAACAGTCAGTCGACTCCAATTATTATGCTGTGAGCAGCCGCCCTGATCTCCTGCTTAAATTCTTCTTTCTTTCTTTCTTTCTTTCTTCCAATCATAGGTCAACTGTGTGGCCATAAGTCCGTCTCCTAAAGTTACTCTACCGGCATTCTTGTCTGGTAGGTCTCACATTTCCAGCATTTCAGCCCTGGATCAAGAAGATCGTGGGCGTCGTAAAGCCCGTGAACAGGCGCCCAGCCCACAACGGGTGCTGGGTCCCTTATCACAAGGATAAATACTGCCATGACACCTCTCATGGAGGCAAATAAGTAGGCTAAAATAGTCATGGAGGATCATGATCTGCCTAGCTAATGCAACACGACGAAGTGGGAGAAAGGGAGAAAGGGGGATAAAGGATAAAGGGATAAGTACGAAGTCTACGAGGGTTGATCGATTGTGCGTTGCTGCGTAAGTAAACTACGAGGTTGCTTAACTGCTGCCAGCATCGAGTGGCAAGACTTTGGACTTGTCCTCGAGGAATTCTTGTCTGTGCTTAACGATGGCTTTCGTAATGCGATCGAAGTCCTTAACTTTGTTGGCCTTTAGTTCGTTAAGAACTTTCTTTAGGCCCTCAATGAATCTGTTTCTCGTTTCACCGGTGAACATATCGGAGGAGCCGAGTTGTGTGATAATCTCGGCATCTGAAACAAAGTACCATGAAGTCAGTTATCCAAAGGGGGGGATGCTTCGCAGATGAGATCAAGTGTTTAGGAATATCGTTTCAAAAACTCACCAGGAAGCACCATGTTCTCAAAATGCTGGAACTCGCAAGCATTACCATCGGGACACTGTTCTCCCGCTAGCACACGCGGGCATAGCGGCCGCATGGGGTCAATCTTGGAACTATAAGTCATTGACTTCAGGCCACCCGCTACTTCATCGAAGTACTTGGGATGGAATCTATATGCACGGAAATATCCAAGAGGACTATGGTAAGAAAGCAGATCCTCTAGTTGGGCTGGCTTTTCAGACTCATCCTGGCTAGAAGTCAGTAAGGGGTGCTCATAAGAAGAGCTGTTCTGTACTTCTCCACTCGGGTTTTCGGGTGCGGACAAAGCCGATTCCTCGCCCGGTTGAACCGGGCTAGTCTCATGGAGTACTTCACGATTGAGTTGCTCATCAGTGTATAGAGTAATTTGCTCTTGTGGTGAGGATGTCTTTGTGCTGGCATCCTGAGGTCCTAAGGGGTGATCGTGGGTAGGGGAGACCGGCATAGATTGTGGCCGGTAGGATCCATCGTTGCTTGGAGAAGGCTCTCGGGACGGTCGCTCGGAAACGTCTTGCTTGGATAGATCCTGTCTATCAACCTGGACTTCTGAAACATCGGCCATTGTGTTAGGGATAGCTCGGCTCTCTTCAGTCGACACATTCGTGGAGCTATTCTGCGATACTCCATCTATGCTAGCCTTCGCATGAGATTCTCCATTAACCAGAGCAAGTCCTTGAGATAGTTGAACAGCAGCAGGTTCATTATTAGTCGGAGAAATAGACTGAGATGGATCGAAACCAAGTTGTGCCTCATTTGAATCAACTGGCTGGTCATGCTGAGTTATGTCTCCCTCGGTCATGGAAAGATCTGCCGTATCTTCGGGATTTGGCTGCTGCTCACTAGTAGGCCGTGACTCAACATGACTTAGTTCCGAAGTTGTAGTCGCTGTAGTTATACACATGTTAGTACCTAATGTAACAAAAAATGCAACACAGGGAACGGCGAAACACTAAGCATCGCGATCGAACTTACCAGAATGGACAAGTTGATTTTGTGTACTTATTTCGATAGGTATTGGCTCTGCAGGGACCGCCAACCGCTCCGCTTCATCAGCTAGTTTGCGCCGTTGTTCCATACTCGCCTGAATTTCGAGCTCAAGCTGAGCTGCTTGGGCAACGGCTTCCCTTAATCTATCCTGTTTTTCTTTCAGGGTGGCCTCTACGGTTGGCAATTCATAGCTCACGATCCTATCGCGTCTCTTCACGTCGGCCGTTCCAACTCTTTTTTGTACCGGGGAAAATTCCGAAAATTTAGAGAGAGTAGTAGATTCTATTCCTGAAGGCTGGGTCTGAGGTGATTGAGGAGCATTCGTCTTCTTGGCGGCCTTCTTAGCTTCGGCTTCAGCAATTAATCGCTTCGTCTCCTCGATTCGTTTATGCAATAAATCCAGTTTGGCTCCGTGTACAGGTGGTGTTGGTGCCGTACTTGAGCTAGGACTTGAACGTTGTTTCCGGTTTAGGGAATCAGACAGCGGTGGAAACGCCGCGAGGGGAATTTGCCGAGGAGGGTTGATTATCTCACTAAATGAATTAGGCTCATCGGTAGGCGAAGCAATGTCCATTTCAACGTCCTCATCGTCACTAACATCAATAATTAATGTTTCCTGAGTGCGGGTTCGCTTGAGCGTGCCAGTGGGGGTGGAATAATTATCAAAATCCGATGCTACCGGTCGTTTTAGGTTGCGGTTGCTTGACTGCGCTGGTTGAGTAGTTAGAAACAAACCCGGGATACCTCCATCCCTCGGTAAGCTCTTCTCCGTAGACATAGAACGCCTATCTGTTTCTAACGCGGATATCCCGACCGCGGTAGCATTCGTGGATGATTCTGTGTTATTCTTTGATACGGAAATCGTGGGCGGATTACTTGTGGGAAGAGATGGAGGCGTCATGGGTTTAGCTCTATTATCAGCTGCCAGCTTTTCGGCTAAGGCTTTCTCCTGCGCTTTCTTCAACTTGGCGAGCTTTTGGTGAAGAAGTGCGTTATTCTCCGCCCGCGTCTTTGGTTTTGCCGGTGACGAACTCGTAGAAATTGCAACACCTAAATTGGTCGAAGCTGGTTGAGATGGTGGTGCTGATGTAGGAGGCTGGACCGCATTTGCAGTCTTCTGTGCCTTTGCCGCTAATTTCCGAGCAATCTTGTCTTTCCGTTCCTCGGCAGCGGTCTTTTTAGCAGGCTTTGTATCACCAGTGGTACTGGTATCTATTGTAGTTTCGACTGTTGTAGATGACTTCGGCTTGGACATAATTGGTGGCTGATCTTTAGCGTTCTGTGACTCGGGTGCGGCCTGAGAAATATTAGAGGGCGCAGCTGGAACCTGCAAGTCACTCGTAGTCTTTTGAGCTGTAGTGGGTTTTGGTATTGAAGCCTCGAGGCCCAAATCCGTGAACAAGCCTTTGATAAGCTTTTCGTCGAGTCCTTCCTCAATATAATCTTGATATCGGACCTTAAGGGGCCATAGGCCAAGGATAGCCTCCTGCGCCTTCTTTTTTGCTTCTGCTACAGAACGAAAAGGACGAATTACGGCATCTTGCGTTTGGTTAGAAGCTATTTCATTTGCCAATGGAGTTTGAACTGATGGTTGCTGTTGCTGTAGGTGTGTTATATTTATCCCTGGCAGAGATTGTACTGGATTCTGAGTGGTTGGTGCATCTGACGGACGTTAGATACGATTAAAGAGAACCAACATATTACAGTGCAACTTACGCTTAATTCCATGAGACGCGGGTTTGCTCACGGATACCTTACGCTGGATCTCCCTAGGGGACAAGTAGGGAGAATACGAACCAGACCTCTCGCGTTCTTGGTAGGAAGGCTCCCAGTCCTCGTCTGGTGAATATGCTCGTTCGGCCGTAGGAAGCGACGTAGATGTGCTATTAATGACAGCTTCACCTCGAGGTGTTGTACCATCATATATGGAAGACCCGTCAGCATCCCCAACGCTTCCATTTTGGTTTTCCATCACACTTGGGGGTCGAGGAGATGGAGGAGTTGCTATGGCGATATCAGTGTTATCTTTAGGCTCATATAGATCTTCAAATTCGCCTTCGCTAAGCTCCCCTTCTTCTGGAGTTTGCTTTTGTGTCTGGGATGATACAGGTATATCTCGTTTCTCTATAGGACTTTTCTGAAGGTCGCCCTGCTTAGCCATAAAAGCAGGGGATTTATCTCTGGCTTGCGTAGGAAGTTGATGTAATGCGGGTTGTGTCTGAGGTTGCCATATGCTATTATTTTCAGATCGATATGGCATGGGCGGTAGAGAGCTACCCATCCCTAGGCCAGGTATATTGCTTGCATTGTATTGGAAGGCATTATGAGCGGTTGCGTAGTTGCCCGCAGTGGCAACTGGCTGTTGGAACGCCCCGTAGTAAGGCGGTTGAGCATTTAGGGGAGGAAGTGACTGTTGGGCGAAGGGCGGGAGAGGTTGCGAATGAGGTTTCTGGCCCTGATACGGGCTGTACCTGTAAGGATGCTCTGACATCTTGAATTGAGTCGACGCGATGCATGAGGAAGCCCGTCCCTAAAGTTGAGCAGTAGTTCAATATATCAGCTGATAATGGGACGGTTTAGGCAACGAATAGCCAGTCGAATAAGAGTCGCGTTTATAAGAAAATGTTTGCAGTGGTCAATTAGTCTTCGGGGATAAGAATAAATGAAGGTGTCGGATGGAAGGTCTGATTGACATGGCAAGGGACATCGACGCGTCTCCTTCAAAGCGATAGAATGATGGGCGGCAAGAGATGATTGAATCTAAGGACGGCGAAAAAGCCTAAGAGCCAAGGATTTCGGACCACCGAGATCAAAGACAATGTATTACCAAAACTTCTTTCACTAAATGAGAAAGAATAGTTAGCTTCGAATTGTATTTCATTCGCGCTACTTCCTAATGATGAGAAGTATTTGATGGCTTTCAAATTATTGTTTGCCAGTTGAGCGTTGGAATATGGCCCAAGCGCTCTAATACCTACCTAAACATTACCTAATCTTTCTAGGGTCAAAGGAAACCTGAAATGCGGCAGGCCCATACAAACGGTACTGGATTAATCCGTAAACCGAGATGTCTCCACTTTAAAGTTAGATGCATGGAGATATGGAAGTAATGTTAGGTACCTAGGTACCTTTTAAACCCCCACTAGGCCAGAGCTACATGTACATACCTGGTACCCAAGCCTGTTTTAGCCTATCTAAAAATTGGGTAGCCAGCACATTATGCATGGACATACGCTAATTTCTGCCAAGTCTGAGGCCTGTTTACTTCCTACACGCCCGTTGCCATGTGCTTCCTGCATGTCAACAATTGACTTCCGTCATTTTGTAGCATCAATTATTTCAAGACAACACCCATACAGAAGGAACTGTGTCTTTTTTTTGGGGCAAGATACCTCTTGTCATTACTTTGGAGGCGTGGATTTTGAATTGGTTTCGTTCGTTCAATACCAGTAGTTGTTTTGCCTGAAAACTCATCCTTGCTCTTCTATGGCATCGTGTCTTATGATACCGATCTCCGCAATTTACGTAGTAACGTTCAAGTAACGGCTGCAGACGATAACTACAAGATTTCTTCCTGATGAAGCTGCAACTGAGCCAATGATACCTTGGAATCCTTACTTTGACATTGGACGCTCCCAACATGTCGGTACGCAATAATCCTTTCGTTCGGAAGGCTTCACCCTCGCCGTCGCCGTCGCCGGGTCCGAGCGGTGTGGGTAGACCGAAATCTGCTATATTCCCCTCCCAGTCGAATGTCTTAACGAGAGTAGCAACACCACCTACACATAATCGCACACAGTCACAAGCATCGATAGCTGCCGCCAACCTCCTCCCAGTTGGCACAAATGGCCCTCGGCCGCACCGAGTCGACTCGAAAAGCAGTGGCCCAAACTCAACAACATTTGCACCGTCGTTTATTAAAACAGAACAGGACCGGCGGAGGAGCTTGGACCCTGTAAAAGGGATCGAGGGCGAAAATGACTTTTCCGGCAAGAGATATGTCTGGCTTAAGGACCCACAAGCTGCCTTCGTCAAGGGCTGGATAGTCGAGGAACTTGAAGAGGGCCGTATATTGGTACAATGTGACGATGGCAGCGTAAGTTTCGCTCTCCTGCATGGTTACTGATGGTTATACTGACTCAACCTGGTAGCAACGTGAGGTTGAAAGCGAAAGCGTGGATAAAGTCAACCCGGCCAAGTTTGACAAGGCGAACGATATGGCGGAGCTGACACACCTGAACGAGGCATCTGTTGTCCACAACCTTCACATGAGATATCAGGCCGACTTGATATACACTTACTCAGGATTGTTCTTGGTTACGGTCAATCCTTATTGCCCTCTACCAATATATACGAATGAATTCGTCAACAGGTACAAGGGCCGAAGTCGAGAAGATACAAAGCCACACATTTTCGCCATGGCTGATGAAGCGTTCCGTAACTTGGTCGAAGAAGGGGAAAATCAGAGTATATTGGTCACCGGTGAATCTGGTGCAGGAAAAACTGAAAACACAAAGAAAGTAATCCAATATCTTGCCGCGGTAGCCCACTCAGAATCTCCGGCGAAGGGTAGAGGACAGCATTCTACCCTCTCCCAGCAAATATTACGGGCCAATCCTATCCTCGAAGCTTTCGGCAATGCGCAAACTGTTCGAAATAACAACTCCTCTCGATTTGGCAAGTTTATTCGCATCGAGTTTACTCGGAATGGAGCGATTGCCGGTGCATTTATCGATTGGTATCTCTTGGAAAAGTCAAGAGTTGTTCGCGTCAATCCTCAAGAACGAAACTACCACATTTTCTACCAGCTATTAACGGGCGCCGATAGTCAAATGAGACGAGACTTCTTACTGGACGAATTTGAAGTACCAGATTTCGCTTATACCCGTGAGGGTCATGATACGATATCCGGCGTCTCTGATTTTGACGAATGGGAGTCGCTGCTCGAGGCGTTCGACGTAATGGGATTTTCTGATAGTGAGCAGAAATCCATTCTACGTACTGTTGCTGCGGTCTTGCACTTAGGCAATATCACCGTCGTCAAGGAAAGTCGCATGGCTGATCAAGCCCGCCTTGCACCCGACGCCAAGGAGGTAGCAGCTAGAGTGTGTAAGCTTTTAGGGATCGCCTTAGAACCGTTCCTACAAGGGCTACTTCATCCCAAGGTCAAAGCAGGTCGCGAGTGGGTAGAGAAGGTTCAAACTCCTGAACAAGTACGACTCGGCATCGATGCCCTAGCGAAAGGTATATACGAGCGGGGCTTTGGAGACCTTGTTACAAGCATTAACCGTCAGTTTGACCGAACTGGGCTCGGCATTGACGATTCACATTTCATTGGCGTGCTTGATATTGCAGGATTCGAGATTTTCGAAGAGAATAGCTTCGAGCAACTCTGTATCAACTACACCAACGAAAAGCTCCAGCAGTTCTTCAATCATCACATGTTTGTCTTGGAACAGGAAGAGTACGCGAGAGAACAGATTGAATGGCAATTCATCGACTTCGGCCGCGATTTGCAGCCAACCATTGACCTCATCGAGCTCTCGAATCCTATTGGTATCTTCTCATGTCTTGACGAAGACAGCGTCATGCCAAAAGCCACAGACAAATCGTTTACGGAAAAACTTAACTCCCTGTGGGATAAGAAGTCTAACAAATATCGCCCGTCACGTCCTGGTGCTCTACAGGGGTTTATCTTAACTCATTATGCAGCTGAGGTTGAGTATTCAACTGAGGGTTGGTTAGAGAAGAATAAAGATCCCCTTAATGACAATGTGACCCGGCTCTTAGCTGCTTCTACAGACAAACACATTGCGAATTTATTCCTAGATTGCGCCGACTCGGATGATGACAATACTACATCTCGAAGTAGGGTCAAAAAGGGACTGTTCCGAACGGTCGCGCAAAGACATAAGGAGCAGCTAAGCAGCCTCATGTCCCAACTTAACTCTACACATCCTCACTTTGTTCGTTGCATTCTCCCAAACCACAAGAAGCGACCTAAACAATTCAACGCATTACTCGTTCTTGACCAGTTAAGGTGCAATGGTGTCCTCGAGGGCATAAGAATAGCCCGGACCGGTTTCCCTAACCGACTCGCATTCACAGAATTTCGACAACGATATGAAGTTCTCTGCAAAGATGTACTCAAAGGACACATGGATGGACAAGCAGTAGCAGCGTTAATGCTGGATAAGCTGGGGATAGACCGATCCCTTTTCCGTGTCGGTCTCACTAAGGTATTCTTCCGAGCTGGTGTACTTGCCGTGCTAGAAGAGCAACGTGATGCCTTGATTACCGAGATAATGTCTCGTTTTCAATCTGTTGCTCGCGGCTATATCAAACGGCGCTTAGCTTTCAAACGGTTGTACCGCACGGAAGCCACTCGGGTGATCCAAAGGAACTTCAATGTCTATCTTGATCTCTGCGAGAATCCTTGGTGGCAGCTTCTTATTAAGATGAAGCCACTGTTAGGCACAACGCGCACGGCCATCGAAGTGAAGAGACGTGACGAGAAAATTCGACTGTTAAACGATAAGATGAAACAAGAAACTGAGAACCGCACTCGACTCGAAGAAGAAAGGCGCAACTGCCACGCAGAATTAATGCGAACACAGCAGATCCTTGAAAGCGAGCGGGCGTTGGCCCTAGACAAGGAGGAAATATTCAAACGGTTACAGCTTCGCGAGTCCGAGCTCGAAGAAGAGCTCAAAGGCGCCATTGAAGATCAGGAGAAGCTCGAGAACCAACTCGACGATCTTCTCAGTGCGAAGAAGAGAGCTGAACAAGAGGTGGACAGATACCGAGCCCAACTTGAGCAAGCCGCTGCCCTCATAGCCCGGCTCGAGGAAGAAAAGTCAAAACTTGACGTTCGAGTTGCCAACCTTGAAGTAGAGATAGAGACTCTCTCTCGGAAGCAGGCGGACAGAAGTGCACAGGAGGCCGTCCTCGAGGATGAGGTCAAGATGCTTCAGAGCCAGCTGTCGTTGAAGGATCGCAAGCTAAGAGATGTCGAGGGGAAACTGCTCAAAACTGAGCAAGATGGAGACATCAAATTCGCTGCCACTCAAAAGGAGCTACAGTCTCTAAGATCACGAGAGCAACGTCTAACAAAGGAAAATCGTGAAGCACAGCAACAGCTATCTGAATTATCGAAGACCTCGACAGATTACGAAGAGCTTGTGAGGAAGAAGGAAAGCGAGCTTGCTATTCTTCGTTCAGATAACAAGAAGTTTCAGATGGAGCAACGTAATTTCGATGAGCAGAGGAAGACACTGGGCTCCGAGAAAGAGAAGATGGCCGACCGTCTACGTGAGGTTCAGGCTGAAATGGTTGCTATGAAATCTCAGCATTCGCAGCTCCAGCGTGAAGCAGAAGATGCGAAGCAATTACTTCAAGCAAGACTCTCCGAAGATGCACAAGCAAATCAGAATCGAGAAGTCTTAGAGTCACAGATCAAAGACCTAAAGAATGAGCTATACAAAGTTCAGATGGATTTAAGTCGGGAACGCCAATCACGAGATGATGTAGCCCTCCTCTCTGAGCATAAATACCAGGCCTTACAAGAAGAACATGATCGACTCAAGGAATCGAAAATAACGATCGAGAAGGAGCTCTATCTTCAGCAAGACACTCTACGGCGAACCATGGAAGCCCGAGCAACTGCTGAAAAGGAACGCGATGACGCGCGCGACGAGATTCGGCGGTTACGGATAGCGAAGACTCAAGCAGAAGAAGCACGACTAAACGCGGAAGAGGCGGGTGAACGCAATGCCACTCGAGTAGCCCGGGAGCGAGAAGCTAGTCTACAGAAAGATCTTGATGCGACGCAAGAGCGGCTTACATGGTTCGAAGGCGAATGTGAAAAGTTAAATCACGAAATAGAAGATCTCAATAAGTTTATGATCTCATCCGGAGAATATGGTCTCAAGAATGACCAGGCCAAGGAACGCTTAGAACG